ATGTTGAGCCATTGGCCGCAACAAAATGGTGATTTTTTTAATGAAACATTTTTGCTGTGAGATGAGTTTTATGGTCTGAAAACAGTTACAGGATTTTATGTACAGATTTCAATGAAAAAATACTCTAACCATGCATTAACCTTTTTGTTACTGATGACGTCGACGCCATGTCACACTCACCCACTTTAAATTACCAAGGACGCCACATTGTCATCATAACAAAGATGCAAAGAACTTTTCCGAAATACCAAGGACGTCACGTCGATGTCATATTTCAATGCTATATATTTCTTTATTCATTAATCTATAGAGAAGTTAATAAGCGAATCAGATAGAGAATGAGATAATACCTGAAGTTTCATCTTTAATTTTTTTTTTTAAATTGCTGAGTTTGCTGAGTCAGCAAAAATAGATGCCCAAAAACCAGGGGTAATGAAAGGGTAAGAGAATTATTAAAATCATAATGAAGATATTTGGACCAGTCAAAAGAAAAAAAACAGCATTGTAAATGCATTATTTTACAAAGTAAGTTTTATATGACCCAAACATAATAATCTCTAAGCAACATGTGTCACTTACGGAATATGTGAATGGACATTTTGAATAGAAGTCTTTATTCAACCATATTGTCTCTATTGCAATTAAATCCCAAAGTAAAAATGTGGAGTAAAAGCGAGTCGAGATTTTGCCACGTGATGAGACTCCCTGATTTAAAATAATTTAAAATATTAAAATTAAATAATATTTATTTTTTTATTTCAAGTGACAGTGAGATCAAACATGGAATAGATTTGTTTATTCCTTTAACAGTTGGTAGTTTAAAGTTCAGAGATGAAAAAATGGGAGAATATTATAATTATATAGATATAAAAAATATATTTATTTATTCCATTTATTGAAACAAAAATTTTATTCCTTTTTGCTTATAAAATATATTTAGCAACAAATAAAAAGATGTTATCTTCCTTTTGTTTATAAAAATATGTTAAGAAATTATGAAAAGAAACAACAAATGGAAATAGTAAGGGACTGCGCACATATTATCTAACACAAAAATATGACATTTTTACCCACCATCTACCCCTTATAGAGTTATATAACATATCCACTGACCGACCCACCTAATACTTTATAACATTTCTAGAAACTACCCAACCCTCAACAACCTAATCAAACCGAATAAAGTCCAAAAACAAGCGGAAGCAAGAAAATTTCACACAAAGAGTCAGAATATTTTTCTTTAATGTGCAAACTATTATTACGCAAAAATAAAAAAAAAATTATTTTTTAATAATCTAGGATTATTACAGAAACTTTAAAAAGCAATAAATTTTGCCCAGATAAGAATTAATTATTTTTTTAAAGTTTTAAATTTATTTTTTTTAAATATAACTTTGCTCTCTACCACATACCCCAACCCCATGTAACACAATATAAAAAATGTCAAACCAACCCTCCCATCCCCTTTGATTTATATAATATGTGCACTGTCCCTAATGAGCATTGGTCAGAGATATATACCTTAAGAAACCAGTATTCATCAATTATTTAGAAGAAAAAATTTTAAAATATCACATGAAGTATAATGAAGACTGCCAAAGTCAGCACATTGATAGAGACCCTAAAACTACAAATCAGATTTTTTTTAAATATGTTCCAACAAGACTGCATATGCTGGAACCAGAACCAATAACTAAATAAATGTTAAAAATATAAATAATGTACAGTTTACCCGGGAGACATTGATCATGACATGAAATTACTTTTTTTTTTTTTTTGCATCTCGGTTTAGACATTTATAATCCATTATCTAACTTTGAGTACAACTATCTGATAAGGTGGTCCGCAGTTCCAGTCATGAAACCTGCTTTCAGTGAATATTGCAGGTTTAATCAATATGTAAGTGAAGGATTTTAAATATATTCATTTGAACAGTGAATTACCTAAAACACCCACTGACTTCCTCCAAAACAACAACAAGGAATGGGAAGAAGCCGAGTTTTGCAGACCATCAAAATAAGACGAATGGGTTGTCCTCAAGTCACCACACACAAACTTGTGTATAAAATGGTCAAATCTGTATTTTAAAAAAAACATTCTTAAATTTATTCATGTACCCGTTGCTTTTGTACATCTTGAAGAGAGCCAGAGAAACACAATGTCCTAAATTCTAATCACACAGTACCTTTTGCATTGTCATGTAAGGATTTAAGTAAGATGCCACACGTGCATAAATAAGAAATATGAATACAGGGCTTACAAAGGAATGAGATGTACAATTAAAATAACTGTGACATAATTCCATTCTCTGATAAAGGTACATAGCAGGAAATCAACAAATTGCATGTTTTTTCTTCACAGCAATTTATGTTTGGTTCATTCATACTTATCATCATCAGTGGCGCTACAGCCCATGTAGGACACTGGCCTGCTCCACCACATCCTTCCATTCGGAGGGATCCATGGCTTTCCGCCTCCATGCACGAACCCCCAACTGGTGTATATCCAGCATTCATACTTAAGCTAACTGAATTAGAATGATCATTTCAATGTCATCAAAATGAGTTAACTTTTACAAAAAGCTATTTTTTAAAATGCAACTAACATTGATCCAGACCTTTTTACCCTCAAACAACCTAAAATCTTATAATATCGGCTCAAAATTCATAAAAATATAGTACCTTAATAGAAATAAATAAACATGAAATAGTATATAATGCATACAATAACTACTCACACTAAGTGTTTAGTGGGATCGAGTTAAGCTGGCATCGAAAAAAAAGGCAAGTTTTAAATTAAGTGACCAATAATTGTATTGCAATCTGCTGTCACTTTGTTTTGCAGACATGTATTGGCTATAAATATTAATTTATAGTGAGTGGACCTACAGATCACATTATCAGAGTATATCACTGGAAAAAATTTAAGTTACTGGTGAAATTTAATGTGGTTCAAACTCACAATTCAGATCAGCATAACATAAAATGTATCAAAATAATAATTAATTAACAAATGATGACATTTAAAAAAACTACCAAGTAACATGAGATTTATAATTTAGGAAAAGCTGGTTTAAAAAAAAAATAAGAATCAATATCCATTAAGCCTACGTAATGCTAATGTAGAACAGTTTGATAACTATGAAAAGCTGTAAATGGGTGAAAGCAAGTGGAGTGTTGGAACCAAACGGGGGTATAAAAATTATATATCTCTTTTGTGTGTTCTTATACTGTATTTCAACGGCCCTCTTAGATCTTATAACATAGGTCAAAATCTAATGTTGCTGCACCAAACAGTTGAGAATACTTTCACTGGTTTTCTCCGCCTCTGCGCTGGCCACGCGAAAAAGAAAAGTAAAGGATGGACTAAAATTGTCCCTAAGGTGACTACACTAATATTACTTTTGTGTCCAGTGAGTTATTTATGAAAAACACAAAGCAACGATATGACCATCACCACTATCATTATGAAAATGTAGGGGTGTTAGTTTTATAGAATTAAATATTTAGACACCCCCACCACACCCATATACAAAATCTCCTAAATCAACACCACCGCCTTCCCCTTTCAGGGCAAATGTAATATTTGGTGCACAACCAATTGTACTTATTGATCCATTCACTACTGGATGTAGAAATCAGGTTAAAACTAACAACACAAAATTTACTTTTTAAGTATTTTTTTAATATAAAAAAACTACTGGAATGTATATATTCTCAACCCGATTTCTTAAAATTGTAGTTGTGACATGTTTTGGTGTACGATTGTAAAAGACACCTCAAAATTGTATATAGCATGCCAAAATTGTAAGAGTTAACAGATCTCTTGATCTATATAATAACATATTTTAATTTAATTTTTAAATTAAAACTCCATCAAAAATCTTTAACAATGTCATTATTTTCACCCCTCTGTCTCAAAACAGATATTTCGTGGAAAGCCATTTTAACTAGACACTTAGAAATGTAAACTCAACAGAAGTGACATTTTTTTTAAAAGCAACTAAACTGAAATTACTAAAAAAGATGAATCTGAGACAAAAATGTTATGATTTAGCAATGGACGGAAGGAACCTTGTATACATTTGATAGTTCGCAGCAAAACATTTAAAACAAAATTAAATTCAATGCAGAAATTTTACAGGAAAAAGAACCTGGCACAAACAGCATGCTGCAAATTTCTGGCACAATTTTTTTTTCCACAAGCCAGTCAGGCAACTAGTAGATAAAACATAAAATAATACAGCTGTGAGTTACATAATGCAGTTTTTAATTTAAAACAAGGTTAACAAAAATGGTATTTAATTCAGCAATAAAAAATCAGTCTGCATAACATTTAATTTTCTTTCTTTAAAAAAAAAAAAAAAAACAGAATCATCAATTCTTTTTATTTTTTTTTTTTAATTTAAAACAAGGTTAACAAAAAATGTATTTAATTCAGCAAAAAAAAAACAGTTTGCATAAAATTTAATTTTCTTTCTTTAAAAAAAAAAAAAAAAAACAGAATCATCAATGCTCCTTATTGTTTGTTGCAAGTCAGAACATTTTCACTTTAACATATCACATATTTTAACTCAAGCAAACGTATTGAAATGTCCAAACAAATCCTGTGAGCCCTGCAAGTTTGCTAATGTGGGTTTTTATCAAATTTTAGCAAAATTGTCATTGAAAGGGTTGGAGCACCCTGCCACATGAGCAACAATATCTATATATAAATATATATACATTAACAGTGGTATTTTTCTTATTTTCTATTCAATGCTTTACAAACATACTGTTGAGATCTTCTTTTTAAGCCATACACATTTTAAAAATGATTATTTTTAAATATAATTCCGTGTTTACTGCTTGCATCAACTTTGGGCAATAAAAAATTTTTTGCAAAGGCATAAAAAAAAAATATTTTTTTTTTAATGTACAATGAATCCCAACAAACTTCTTGATTGTTTTGAAACTGATTTAAAAAAGAAAAAAAAAAAAAAACACAGTGGATTAAAATCCTCATATTCCCATCTGCATGTCAGCAAAGTTGTAGAAGTTTTCAATCTGAGACTCGGCAGCACTGGGAGATTGGCTGACAAAGACAAGGCCGGTTGTTCCCTTCATTAGATCTACAACCAGCGATTGACACATTGCAACACAGCCGTCACAGTTGAACTCTATGCCGATCACAGGGCCTGGGTTAAGGAGGGAGGAAGGTGTGGGCAGATTTTTTTAAAGAAATCATTATTTGATTGAAATGATTAATTTTCAAACATGAATAATTATTAAAATATATAAATTATTATAAAAACATTTTAAAAAAAACAAAAACAATACTAGCAATATTTTTTTTAAAAAATTCCTTCAACTCTGTACAAGCACCACGACCTCTAATACCATAACTGCACCCCCAATGTTAATAAAAACCTGCTAATCTATGTTTGAATAACTCACCTTGCAGAACAGCTTTGGTATATGAATCGGAGCCAAAAACCCTCTGGGAATCATCTGGTCCCATAGAGACCTCCTTTGTTTGCACCAAAATACAGTTTGGCTGGAAACATATAAAGCACTTGTTTTAAACTTGGAAATGTTTTTTTTTTTTAAAAATCATTAAAAATTGATTGTTTAAGAATAAAACTTAAAATTTTATAATAGTTTTTGGAACAGTTTATTACCTTAAATGGTTTTATTGGTTTAAAAGGTTAAATTTTTTCCCCTTCAAATTTCAGTATTTTCAGACAGTACAGTGACCACAAGTGAACAGTAAACACCACATGCAGGATGGAACCTTTTGTCTGATTTGGAGTATAATCTTGTTACGTACTAAAATTAGGAGCAGTGCCAAGTCTGGAAAGCAATCACTGTTTTTTGTTTGTTTTAAAGAAACCATGCACATAAATCTTTAAATTTCATTAGATTAAGGAAATAAGGACATATCAGTATTTCTCATTGGAATTCATTAACATGGTTATTAAAATATCTGTAACTTTACTATTTCATTTTCACTCTGGTTACCGGTATATATGTATATAAAAAAAAACAAGTATCCCACTTAGCCACATAAATTAAAAGCATGGCGCAATTCAAACACTTCAGTCCAGAAACTATGAAATGATCCAGATTTCTTTGCACTCATGAGTTGCCCTGAACATATAAGGGTTTTCATTGCCAAACAATTTAAAGTAAGGTGATCATTCCTGTGGGTTTTATCACTACAGTATTGTTGTTTTATTTTACCTATGTCCTGGTTAGTAGTGAGTTGTGACTGGTAAAGATTAAGACTGCAATACCCGGTATCTAAAATAATTAATTCAATAAAAGATCGCGTACATCTGATACCCAGGCACACAAAAATAAAACAGCTAAAAAGGTTATTATTATAATTCATCAGAATTAACGTCATGGTAAAATTAATTTTCAAAAGAACGCGTCAGACAGAAGATTTCTCTGTTGTAACCACAAATAATTTTGCTTACTTTTTAACAAACATGGGGCTAAAGATTTTAAATTTGAAAAATTTAAATTGTCTTGGTTGTAATTTTAAAGAAAAAAAAATTGTCACCTTACTGTAAACATGATAGAAGGGTTAGTAATATAGAATTTGTTTAGTGAAATGACAGTGGGTTTAAAAACACGTAGGAGGAATCTTAATATTATCTTACACTAATTTATTTGACAGTTGGTTTAAAAACATGTCAAAGGAATCTTAACATTATCTCACACTAATTTATTTGACGGTTTAAAAACATGTCGAAAGAATCATAAAATTACACTAAGTAATTTGACGGTTTGTGAACATGGTAAAAGGAGTGGTAATACAAACTTACATTTCGCGATTTGACAGTGTGCATCAACCTCCTCGCCCGCTGACAAGATCCACCATCATAGAAGAAAACAACCAGACAAGACTATGCAATTAAAAAAAAACATGGATGTTAATTAAAATGTGATGACATGTTCTTCTCTACTGAAATTCCCCTGAGCTGTCATTAATTTGTGAAAATGGCATTTTATGTTATAAATCTTATCAGGTAGTAGTAGTAGTAGTACTGATGTTTGTAGAAATATGTCTCTCCACACATATTTATTTTTTCGAGTGATGAAACTTATAATTGTGACTAAACAAAATAAACAATTTTTTAATATAGCTATTCTTTGGAAATGAAAAAATCTTATTTGAAAGCAGAGATGTATGTTGAAAAGATTAAAAAGTTGATTAAGATAGGTATACAAGCTATTTTTCTATATAAAAAAAACTATTCCATTGCTAAGCTTCTTTGACCGCCGCCTTCCCCCCCCCCCCACACCTCCTCATCTCCCCCCTCCACACCCCTTCCAAGTTTCTCACCTCACTGCTCATTTTCCTTCTCTTTCCCCATGTGACAGGTACCACGCTTCTGTCTTCATCTGTTGTGATTTGCATAGAATCAAATTCTGGACCAGCTGGCACCGGGACAAAGTCTTCTAATTTTGCATCCTAAAAAAAATTGACCAATAAAAAAAAATTGCTGATGTTTTACACAGATACATTTAAATAATTGTGGAAAGTTTTGCTAAAACCCAAAACTGGTAAACAATATAACAAGGGGTGCTAACATTTCGCCCAGATTGAACTGTGCAGTGCTTAAGGACTTCATCGTTTTCAACTCGCACAACAATAAAGTCCTCCATTTGTTTATTTGCAGAATATGATGTGTATTAAACTTTTTTAACATTTTATTTTTAAAACTGATCCCGTATGTAAAATGAGGAACTGTGTAGTTTTGTGTGTGTTCTTTTGCATAGTTATTTGTAGTCCACCGTACACATCTTGGGTAACTTTATCTTACAACTGTTTTCAAAGACAGGCTGCAGAAGAACAGAATGTTGGCTCACACGACAGGCTGCAGAAGAACAGAGTGTTGGCTCACACGACAGGCTGCAGATGGCTAGAACGTTGACTTACGGTGGGCAGGTAGGAGAAGTTGAGATCTTCCTCAGGCACAGGTGTGAAGTCATGGATGTTGGACCAGTTGTTGTTGTACACGCTCAGACCGGCAGACTTGAAATGAGCTGTCGGGAGAGAAATCACATGACTCTGTACAGAAAGTGTCAGGTATGTGATTGAGATAAAGGAACGTTCAGCTTAGATCAGAGGTTCCCAAACCTTTTTAAGTCACAGGGAGCCTTGCTGCATCCAGGTTTTGCCAAAACGCTGTATTTCAAAATCGGAAAATATCAATCCTATCTCTACCATTTCATAGTGTCCATTGGGACAGACTACACATAATGTAAATAGGGACAGAGTACACATAATTTAAATAGGGACGGACTACACATAATGTAAATAAAAATAGACTAACATAATGTAAATAGGGACAGACTCACATATTGTTAATAGGGACAGACTCACATTGTGTAAATAGGGACAGAGTACACAAAATGTAAATAGGGACAGACTATACATAATGTAAATAGGGACAGAATACACATAATGTAAATAGGGACAGACTACACATAATGTAAATAGGGACAGACTATACATAATGTAAATAGGGACAGAATACACATAATGTAAATAGGGACAGAATACACATAATGTAAATAGGGACAGAATACACATAATGTAAATAGGGACAGACACACATAATGTAAATAGGGACAGAATACACATAATGTAAATAGGGACAGAATACACATAATGTAAATAGGGACAGACTCACATAATGTAAATAGGGACAGACTCACATAATGTAAATAGGGACAGGCCTGTACTTACATTCCAGCTGACTGTAGTAATATCGGAAGCAGGTAAACTTCATGCGGCTTGAAGACTCTATGATGGGCTGGGTGCAGCACAGAAGAAACGTGTCGATCTGGAAACAATCTCTTGTCCTGTACTGCTGGCAGGCAACGGCAACACGGCACTGCTTGCAGTCTCGGATAAACACACTGTGAAGATATGTCGGATCTAAATACAGAGCACTGCTTATAGTCTCGAATGAACAAACTGAAGATATAGTCGGATCTAAATTGAGTTACTCGCATACAGGGCAGGGCCACAAACTAGTTCCTGGGTATGTTTCTTTCTTGTGAACAACACACTGACATTCATGTTTAATTAGAACCCACCACTGTCTCAGTTTAACGCATCGATATTTTGTTTTTTTTAGGCATTTAACTAAAGAGAATAAAAAATTTTTTAAATTTATTTCTGGCACTGATGTAAAATATGGGTCAGCTCAGTCAAAAAAGATAAAATATGTGACTTGAACAGCTAGCATGTATGAGCATTTACGTGCCATTATGAACCCTAAAAAATCCAATTTTTTTTCACTGAATTTTTCTCATGCTTACGAATAACAGGTTCTGCACTCATAGCACAACATTCACATGTATGGTCTGCACTCATAACACAATATTTTATCTATGGTCTGCACTCATTGACAATCAATGACTCACTTAAGAAAAATTGGTCCACATCTTCTGGATAAAAGATATTTGTTTCCAAGGAATAATAATTTCATGCCTTATACTTATGCCAATGTTCTACTCTTAAATATAAGGTGTAACATTAAGAAGTCAAAGTGTTGTTAGAGCTCTTTACAATCCCTTTGTTTTACTCACTGACGGTTGCACGAGTTTCACTGATGGTCATATACAGGTCAAAACAATAGTCAAAAACAGAGTTTTCCTGTTTAATTGTTATTACCGTCAGGTTAGAAGCTTATCAAATCAAGTGCATCAAGACACTTTCTGATACTCTAAAAGTGTTCCAACCGATTAAAGGACAATTTATTTCCTGCAAAGCTATAGTTCCTTGAGTGTCTCCCCTTCCAAATAGCAAGGTTTGGAAAAAAAGACTAAATGAGGTGGGGTTTTTTTTTATATAATCATTCTGTAAAAGCTCCCGATTATTTTGATTAGTACACGCCGGTGAAAGAGAGGCCTGGACTCACCTAGATTTGATGGGACCCAGAAAGATGTTACAGTTGACACAGTCATCAACACTGACAGTGGCTATGTGGTCAAATATATATATAGTGGAATCCTGAGAGTGAAAAACGATTATTGTTAATATATTCTGCTGTGCACAGATACACAATGCCATATGGAATATGTGTTAATAATTAGCATTGCACACCTTGAGTCATCAGAGAGGAAGAACAAAAATTTATTAAAAGATGGGATGGATGAAAGGCAACAATAATAATTGAAGACAGACAAGCGTTTATATAGGAAGACTGACAAGCTTTTATATAAGAAGACTAACATCATTTATAAAAGAAGACTGACATCATTTGAAATAGAAGATAGACAAGCGTTTATATAAGAAAACTGACATCATTTATATAAGAAGACTGACATCATTTGAAATAGAAGACAGAGAATCTTATGATTTATAAACACACAGACAGTGTTTGTTTCTTCAGCACCCTGACATTTCCATATTGATTTAATGAGCCCAGCAAACAACCAGACAACATAAACAATCCTTCCTTTGGCATTCAGGTTTATGAGAAAATAGGTTTTAGTGCAGTTTGTGCCAGGTGTGTCCCCACCCCCCCCCCACACACACACACACGCACACTAACATGTATTATGATATTTCAACTTTTCATGCCACTGTGAGGGCACTTCACTGAATTCTTTTGAAAACTAAAGGCATGTTTCTATGATACAAGAAGCATCAGGGATATTTCAAAATTATAAAATCTAAAAAAATATATTTAAATAACAAAACAACAACAAAAAAAAACACCAAAAAAAAACCATTTAGCGATCAAAATGAGAATTTCATTTCAGTCAATGAATCAGTTTATACACACAATAGTACTTAATGAAAGAAACATGCATTGCCTGAGAACTCCAATGTTCAATGAATATAATTTTAAAATAAGTATATTTCATTATTATTTATTATTTCCTTTTAGCTTGAATAAGATCATTTATTTACTTATTTTTTTTTGTACAACCTTTTACGTTTCTTGCTAATGAAATTTTTCGTCCATGAACTGGCGTGAATAAAATGTTTGTGGATGAAATAGCTGTCTATGAACTGACCTGCTACTCCCTGCACCACATACCAGTCTCCCTGTACAACATACCTGTCATCTCACTGAACCAAATACCAGGCTCCTTGCACCACATACTAGTCTCCCTGCACCACATACCAGTCTCCCTGTACCACATAACAGCCTCCCTGTACCACATAACAGCCTCCCTGCACCACATACCAGTCTCCCTGTACCACATAACAGCCTCCCTGTACCACATAACAGTCTCCCTGTACCAAACACAGCCTCCCTGTACCACATAACAGTCTCCCTGTACCACATAACAGTCTCCCTGTACCACATAACAGCCTCCCTGCACCACATACCAGCTTCTCCCTGTGCAACATACCAGTCTCCTGTACAACATACCTGTCATCTCCGTGCACCACATACTAGTCTCCCTGTACCATATTCCTGTCATCTCCCTGCACCACATACCAGTCTCCCTGCACCACATACCAGTCTCCCTTTAACACAAACCAGTTATTTCTCTTACCTGACAATTCTGTATGACTATCTGTTCTCCATTAACCGAACCAGCATGCTTGACAAAAACTTCGCCTTTCTTTCCATCTATGATGAAGTCACTAGCCTTCGATCTGTCTCTCTTATCCCTGAGAGAAAACAAAAAAAGATAATTATTCTTCTCAAAGTGCAAAGCAATCACAAGCTTAGACGTTTTTTTAAAAGAAATATATTTTTAGAAATACATACATACAAACCGAAAAACACTTATACAAGCATATAAGGGATCATGCTGTCCAGAAATTTTGCAAGCAAAATAAAAGCATCTAGGCTACCGCACTTAACCACTGCAAAGTTATTAATGAAAAATTTAATTTTAACAAAACAAAAGAGAATTTTTACAAATAGGGCACAGGGTCAAATTTTAAAGCTACCTTTCCCAAATGAGTCAATAAGACCGCAAGGTTTTTAATCTTTATGTAATCTCATTTCACAATTGATTTATAAACAAAACTCCATGTATGGTAAGAGATCCTTTGTGTGGGCTATCTTTGATTGGTTCAGTATAAAATTTGCTTTGAAAATATAGAAAATAAAGGGCACTTGTTTTGTTGCACATTAAAAATAATCAATGCTATGATAGGCCTTGGATGCTATGATAGGCCTTGGATGCTATGATAGGCCTTGGATGCTATGATAGGCCTTGGATGCTATGATAGGCCTTGGATGCTATGATAGGCCTTGGATGCTATGATAGGCCTTGGATGCTATGATAGGCCTTGGATGCTATGATAGGCCTTGGATGTTATGATAGGCCTTGGATGTTAAGTGAGACTGTTATGTTCAAGCATCTTCCTCTTTTGAAGCTGAAATTCATCTAAACCCATGGCAATGCAGTGGATGGTCAAATCTAAATCTATTGTAATGCAGTGGATATTGGTATCTAAACCCTTGGCAATGTAGTGGATATTGGTATCTAAATCCTTGGCAATGTAGTGGATATTCTTATCTAAATCCATGGTAATGCAGTGGATATTTCCATCTAAACTCATGGTAATGCAGTGGATAGTCAAATCAAAATCCATGGTAATGCAGTGGATATTTGTATCTAAACCCTTGGCAATGTAGTGGATATTCCCATCTAAACCCATTGTAATATATTGGATATTCCTATCTAAACCCATGGTAATGCAGTGGATCTCCTATCTAAATCCATGGGAATGCAGTGGACATTCCTCTAAACCCATGTGAATGCAGTGGTTAATACTATCTAAACCTATTGGGATGCAGTGGATATTCCTATCTGAACCATTGGGAATGTAGTGGATATTCCTATCTAAACCTATTGGGATGCAGTGGATATTCCTATCTGAACCATTGGGAATGTATTGGATATTCCTATCTAAACCTATTGGGATGCAGTGGATATTCCTATCTAAATCCATGGTAATGCAGTGGATATTCCTATCTAAACCTACGGGAATGCAGTGGATATTCCTCTAAACCCATGGGAATGCAGAGCTTATTTGTATCTAAACCCATGGGAATGCAGAGCATATTTGTATCAAAACCTATTGGGATGTAGTGGATATTTCTATCTAAACCCATGGGAATGCAGTGGATATTCCTACCTAAACCCCTTGGTAATGCAGTGGATAATCATCTACATACTAAATAATACACTGAATGTAAATCTCTATACCTGTGAATGGCAGGCTTTGTTGTTAGAACAGGAGAGCACCAGAAACATGACCGCTGGCACATTTTTTAAATCCAAATGTGTTAGTCTATGTCTGAATCATTTCAAGAATTTGAGAGAAGTTCGACTACATAGTGTCTTTAGCTTATAGTTCAAGTTTTTAAAATAAACTCATTAAAGAAATCTACCTATCCCCTTTAACACCTTTCAAAACTAACTTCTGGGTGTCTTTTATAAAATCACACACAAACTTCTATTTTATTTTCAGTGCAGCCATAACATCTAGGACTCATTAAAAAATACTTTTTTTTAAAAATTGAGACAATCATCCTTAAAAATACTTTACTCCAGCACTTCTAAATATAGAATGTACTTGGTGCACAAATTTCATGGCAGTAATTTCAAAATAGTCAGCTGTACCCTGCAAACATTTTTGTTACCAGAATAAACCCGACCAGAAATTCAAATGTGACATGCAGTAATCTGTTATTTTTAGAAGGGAAAATGTCAATACTATGCAATATTCTATCACAAACAGATCTGCTGCATCCTTAATGAACATTCCTCAAAGAAACAACACACTAAACTAAACCAGAACTACACACCAAGACAGGGAGTAAATGATCAAAGCTGACACCCACTGGGCCAATAAATCAATATCAGGCCCTGTAGCTATGTTTGAATATCTGAAGGTGCATGGACACATTGAGAGATTTTTATGAATAGTGTCCTAAGTAGTCTGATAATTATTAACACTGAAAAATGGTGTGTTCCATATTTTAATACAGTGCACAACAGCACACTGATAGGAGTGATGCTTGATTATGGTTGCCAAGCAACAGACACACAGCAGAGCATAATCTTTTTTTATTTTTTAAATCAATTTCCTATCACAACATTGTTTAAGTTACTCTGAAATATGATTCACTCAGAGTCCACATTTTAAAAAAAAATTTAAAAAACAGTTTAGAGAAATTAGAAAAACAAGAGATAAATAACAGTTAACGCATGCTCAGATAATTGATACAGAAATTCTCATATCAAAAGTATGCAGGCTAGAAAGTTAAAGTTTCCAAAGAACTTGTCATAAAAGTGTTAAGCAGGCTTGCGAATAAACAAAACAAACATTGGAGTACCGGTATTTTAGAAATTCAATCATCAAACAAATAAAAAAGCAAAGTCAAGGTTCAGGGTGAATATTCAAGGCAATTTCAGATTAGATGAGGCCTAAGGCAAGGACACTCACTGTCTTGTGTGCTATTTAACCTAACATTGGTGAGAGTTATAAGAAATATACATAGGGACACCCGAGGCCAACAAAAACAGTATATTTATGAGGGAAACCCAAGACCCACAACCAATAGGCACTCTCTACAACCAATCCCTGCAGTATCTTGCATATGCTAATGACTGACATAGCACTGATTTTTTAATGAGATATCCCAACTGAAAAAACACTTTCTTTTCTTTGGTGTTTTAATTTTTTTTATAACAGGCTCACTATTATGTCTATAGTATTTCTAAGATAACATCAAGCAGCTTCATTGATAATTGACTTAAAAACACTGTAATTATTAGTTGAGAGGAAAATTTGAACCAAAGTCCCTAGTATGGGGAATGAACTTACAGAGAAGTGCGCTTACGAATTGGAACTTCCATTGAAGAAAAATATAAAATGGCTATAAATTTAGCTGATAAAAATGACAGAACGAATTCAAATGGTAGCCTCCCCATCTATCAACCATGTCGGTCATTTTTTTTTGTAACCACCTGGATCTTATTCTTAATCCTCATCCCTAACTTCTAACCTCTCCCATCCTATTCTCTCCCCTCTCCCATCCAATTCTCTCCCCTCTCCCATCCAATTCTCTCCCCTCTCCCATCCAATTCTCTCCCCTCTCCCATCCAATTCTCTCCCCTCTCCCATCCAATTTCTCCCCTCTCCCATCCAATTCTGTATGTACTCCCTTAATACCTCCATCTGCACTCTCTCCCTCACTCCTACACATACAGTCCTGATATTCCCTTAAATCCCCCATCTGCACTCTCTCCCTCACTCCTACACATACAGTCCTGATATTCCCTTAAATCCCCCATCAATGCTCTCTCCCTTACTCCTACACATACAGTCCTGATATTCCCTTAAATCCCCCATCAATGCTCTCTCCCTCACTCCTACACATACAGCCCTGATATTCCCTTAAATCCCCCATCAATGCTCTCTCCCTTACTCCTACACATACAGTCCTGATATTCCCTTAAATCCCCCATCAACGCTCTCTCCCTCACTCCTACACATACAGCCCTGATATTCCCTTAAATCCCCCATCTGCACTCCCTCCCTCACTCTGATACATACAGAGCTGATCTCCTTATATTCACCTTCCTTACACCTTAAAATTTACCATATTATTCCACTAATTCCCTGCCCTCTTCCCATACTCTTACTTTAAAAAAAAAAAACTGCTACAAAGCTCATGCTTTATCCCAACTTCAGTCTTTTGAAGTTCTCTCCCCTCACCTTTACTATCTTACCTCACCTTATGCTCTCCCCTATAACCATAAACTACCAATCCACCTCCCTTACTCAAAACCTCTCACAACTTATCCCCCTTTCCCACACTCCCCAGGTTATCTTTTATGACATCTACACCTTCCTACCCTTTCTATTTACCCTCCTCACTTGTGTGCCCCTACAATATACTGCCCGCTCACCCCTCCCCAACAACCTCCCCCTTACCAGTCTCCTTCCTTGTTCAACCACCTACTCTCCTATGCCTTCCATACCAACTGTCCCTTACTCTCTACCCTCTCATTCCAAACCCTCTCCCATCTAACTTTCCCAACTAAAAAACCTAGATGTTATTCATAATCCAGCTTCAAGTAAAGGGCTGAATAAGTACATTTATAAGTATGACAAAGTTTAGAAATTAGACAAGGTGACATCCAAATTAGCATGTAACTATATTGTAGGTGTTGAAATGTACACTATGGCAAATATGGGGAACGAAATCATAGGGTTTTCCATTTGGCCCTGCACATTTGCCTTAAAATGCACACATTGCATGACATGGATGTTATCACTATTTAAAGATAATCTTCTAACATTCTGATTTTCAAAAGAACAATTTCTCCCCTACAAAGCTGCAATGCATTTAAACTTTTTATTTAATTTTTATAACAAGTCAGACATTTGTAAAATTATTCTTGGGGTCTCAAAAAGTCAAGTGGCACAGGCTTCTAACAACCTCTGAAAGGCTTCAGGGCTAAAATATCACTGCTAACCCAATGTCGGCTTTCAACTCTTAGTGGACCTTGTGATTTTAAGGAATTTTTGCAGGACAGATGATCAAAGCTGACAATTAAAGTCGAAGCCTATATAATATATATTACAATTATAATCACTTAAAAAGAACACTATTCTTTGTTATAGATTAAATCTCTTGTCATTTTTGAAAAACTGGGATGAATTTGAAACAAGTGGTTATATTTTGAGTGAGGAGACTGCTGCTCTTTTTGAAGGTACTTTTTTAAAAGTAATAATTATTAGTAGGCCAACTTCCTTATTTGTCCCCCTAAAATTGTCACATCCAGAGCAACTACCCTTTCAGTTCTCTTAGGGGCCAGACATAAATGAAGCATGCTAGTTTGGACAATGACTCAAATTTTTCACAAAATTTTGACATCTCAAAAAAAGGGTTATTTGGACACAGGTTCCTTTAGACTAAATGCAATTCGGATGCTATTTATGGTAGTTTATTTTATTTAAAATAAAGAAATAAGTTAACATACATATAGTCCATTCAATTAGGTCTATATTCCATTTGATACCTAATTTTGTCTTACAAACCCAATAATAATAGTATTTTTTAATAAACCAAACCTCTTGCTCTTTTCCTGGTCTGAATCCCAGGTCCGAAAAGCCGAAGCCAATAATTAATTTTATTAAGCCCGGGCTAACTAATTTATGATTAATTATAAATTAATATTAATTTTTAGTCCTAAGCCTAAGAAGCAAGTGACTTAAGTAAGTTTAAGTCTGAGTCTTAAGACTAAAGAAAGTATAAATTATAAAAGTTAAAAGTCTTGGCTAACCTGAGTCTAATTGCTTACTAATACTATTTATACTATACTATACACTATACTTAGATACTATCCTATACTGTCTATAATTATAATAATTAACAATATTTAATTTTATAAATTTAAATTTAATCTAATCAAATTTTTAAAAAAAATAATATGCTATTCAAATTAATTTATTGGCAATGGATGTTAATTAATGTAAATATCCATTCAATTTGTCTATCGGCTACCGTAAGTTGTCTACCGGCTATCAGCAGTAGTCTACTCTTACCTACTCCTTACCAAGACTAAGACTCAAACAGTGCGGCACCTGGGTGTCTACCTATATAGAAGACTAACTTTGGAAAGTCACATTAACATGCTATGCAAGGCGATTTTTCTAGAGCTGCGCAGGATTCGTCACATCAGGCCCTTCTTAACAATTGATGCAACAAAGAGGCTGATGTCTGCATTTGTGCTATCACGCATGGACTATTGCAATGCTCTCATGGTGGGTCTTCTAGCTACGCTCCTGGATAAAATTCAAATAGCACAGAATAATGCGGCTCGCATTGTTCTTCGCAAACGCAAGTTCGACCATGCTAAAACACTTCTGAGAGAGCTGCACTGGCTGCTGATCCGTGCTCGCATAGAGTACAAAATTGCAACTTTGTGCTACCGCTGCTTACATGACCTGGCGCCGTCCTATCTGAAAGAGCTGCTGACGCCTTATGTACCCACTAGACAACTCCGCTCATCCGATAGTGGCAAACTCTCGACACCATGTGTTCGCCTTGAGACTTACAGAAAGCGCACTTTCGCATTTGCTGGTCCAACAATTTGGAACGCCCTTCCTGTCGCTCTCAGAAACAACCAGACACTGGAGTCCTTTAAAACCGATTTAAAGACACATCTATGTAGCAAACACCATCTGGGATGATTGTCTACCATATTTTCCAGTTAATGCATATTGGCTGTGTTGCTTAGGGTTGAAATGGTTAGAATGACTTTGACTTGGTATGCTTGTAATTGGTTTTGTAGTGTTGCGTTTGTTTTTTTAAATGTGGTAAATTATAGTATAGTGTTGTTGTTTTTTTACATTGTACCGCGCTTCGAGCCTTTGGGGATGAAGCGTGTTTTTGAAATAAACTTTATTATTATTAAGACTTGAAGACTTGAGAGTTAATAAGACAAAGAAGTAAGAAGAAGAGCCGAGAGTAAGACTAAGAACTTACTAAGGACTACGAGTAAGAGACTCCAAATAAAAACTCCATTTAACTTAGTTACACATACCAAGAGTATACTTTAGGCTCTTCAGCTGTTTCTTCCAAAGGCATCTGCCCATTGGGATTCTTTAAACACGATAATAGGCAGCCCATTTCTTTACAGGCTTCAACTATGTTTTTTCTACAAATATAGAACTATCTACAATGAACTGATTTTTTTTTTTGTCGGATGCTTGTCAAAGCTTGATTGGAAACAGAAGCACCGGTAACAGGACCGATGTAAATAAGATCTTGTAAACTGATTGGCTTAAATTATGTTTTCCAAGTCTGAGTTCTTGGTAGCCGAGTTCTTTAATAGTGAAGTTTTAAAAATGTATTTTGAGGTTTTCAGGTCACTTTATATTTTAACACTAGAGTTATTACCCTTGCAAAATGGCAGCTCCCTTGGATTTTGGAAACTGGCAAAAATCAATTGATACGCTCTTACAAACAATAAAGCCTGATCATTTGAAAGCTTTCAATTTGCTACAAACAAATAAAGAACGTGTAAAATTTATTTTCAAGCACCGTCTTTTAAAGTAAGGAACTCGATTTTGAATTTAAACTAACCTATATTAATGATGCGCAATAATCCCATTTATTTGATTTATCCATCATTATCAAAACTCGATTCAGCAAAATTTACCTGCCTTATAACTTATAATTATAATCTTATCGTCATTGATAGTCTTATAAGTAGGTACTTGAATAGAGCAAACTTACCCAAACTAACTTCAAATAAAAATGAAACCAGAATCAACTTTATAATTTATAGACTTTAGTTATTTGAGCTATGAATTTTTTAAGGCCGGCACTACGTACACCGCGGTGGTGTACCTATCGAAACTATTGAATTTGGCCTGCGTACACCGCGGCGGTGTACCTAGCTAAATCATGGTCTGTGGCCTGCGTACACCGCAGCGATTTACAGTAGCCAAACTATGGTCTTTGCGAGTCTTTAACTTTTTGGCCTAACCGGTACTTGTAGATTTAATGTTATACTCGTGTTAAAACTGAAAACTATTAAAAATTCGTTTATTACCTTGGGAAGATATTGAGTAAGGTCTACGCGTATGTGGCAAAGTGCATGTAAAGCATTTCTTATTATTTTTGGAAGGGAAGGGGGGGTGTAATGTTAAACCATGATTTATTTTTTACAAATATATTTATTAATTGTAAGTTTTATCATATGATTGTGAATCTTAATTTGAAATTATTCTCTCATGCCCACCCCCACCCAGTTGTTAGTTGTTTTGTTTTGGGTTTGTTTTTTTTGTTGTTTTTTTTGGGGGGGGGGGGTGCCTTATAAATATAACATTGTATGTGATCCCTCGGGGCATGGTGTAAAAATGAATGGGAAGACAGTGTATCTATTTTGTTAGCACCATGATATAATTACGCCACAAATACACTACGGGAAGAGAATCACATACTCATACATTGATCATGAAGTCGTGAAGTTAAAGTAGTCCGAGGCATTGTCATTGTGACACCAAGCATGTGTCAACACAAAACAGCAGTAAGATGATCAATACGAAACACTGCAGTTATTTGAAAGTCTTTTAACAATAATTAAAAATCATTGATTTAGTTTTACATTGGCATTACACATTAGTAAAAAAAATGCAGGCAGAGGGAGGGGGGATGCAAAAGGTAAGTTGGTTGTGCGGACGTCCTTTGTGGACAACCCCTATCCTGAGCCGTGATTTGTGAATGCCCTCTTTTTGGTTAAGCCTCTGCCCATAACTCACCACCACCCCCCACTCCCCGGCAAGGATCGATTTCTTAAAAAAAAACAACAACAACAAATACAAAAACTTTGACATAGTGCAAATCCTGTCCCAGGCGCATTGTGCAATGGTTTCTGTGAGAAAACGTCGTGTTTTACCCTGAGAATAGCACATGCCATGCCATTCTGGAAACAAATTACGTCATGAAAAGGGTAAACGCAGACCTATGGCTTTGCTATACAGTTTGCTACCGCTCCGCAAGTTTCTAAAATCGAGGTGTTTTCAAAAGATTTGCTGTGAGACTGAGTGTTGTGAATGAACCTTTGATATCGTATGTACATTTTGCCAATGCATAAGGCATAGTGAAAGCAAGATGGTTCAAGGTTGAAATACGACCATGCACATTAATATTCATATGCATGAATATTATTCATACTGGTATTTTCTTTGGTTGTTCGTAAAAGTAAAATGTAAATATTCAACTATACGAAGAATGTTGAAATACAATAGAATATCAGTCACTTAGTATTCATAATGTTTCTGTTATACATGATCATCATGTATTACATGCGCTTTCAGAAACTTTAAGTTTGTTTTCAAATGTCTAAAGTCTTATTACTAAAGTTACCGGTATTTTCAAAGTCAAAGGCCGGCACAACTTGTTGAAACACTTATATATATAAATAAATATATAATATAATGTGTATTTAATATAATATTTAAACATATATTTAAATTGTTTCAATTGCTACAAAATATTTTAAAACTAAAATGGGAGGAAAAAAACTCGATCCCCTACTGAGAATTGATCTCAAACTATATTATCGCCAAGCGTCCACTCTACCACTTGACCACACAAGATCTTCCCTAACAAGCATATCTTAAAACCAGGCCAATGGTAAATTTTTGCCGCGGTGTACCCAGGCCAAAGCCCACGATTTCACTAGGTACACCGCCGCGGTTTACGCAGGCCAAAGCCGATGGTTTCGCTAGGTACACCGCCGCGGTGTACGCATCCACTTCGATTTTTTAAAGGAAGTGCCTCTGTACACTACAGCAGTGGTCCCCAAATGGCGGTCCGTGGACCTTCACCGATCCGCATGCCTAATACTGCCGGTCCCCATAACATAAAAATTTATTGTCAAATAGAAATAAAAGTATTAAGGAAACAAGGGCTTGCCAAATAAATATTGCAGGGCACCACAAGAGGAGGGAGAAGAAGAGGAAGACAAAGAAAAAGATAAGAGGATAATATCAAAGAGTGGACAGGACTAACACTGGGCGATGCTGTGCGCAGTGCAGAAGACAGAGACGAATGGAGGAGGATTGTTCACATGTCATCTGTGGCGCCCCAACGGTCCAAGGACTAAGGGACATGATGATGATGAGAAATAAAAGTATAAAAATAAATCATCCACTGGTCCCTGGTAAAATTTCAAAACTTGTTCACCGGTCCGCCAAACTTAAAAGTTTGGGAACCCCTGCACTACAGTACAGTCTTCAGTACACGGCCATCGGTGTACCTAAGAAAACCATGGACCTAGGCCTGCATGCACCGGGGCAAAAAATTACCATTGGCTTCATCTTCATATATTGCTGTTAGATATGATTTTGTGCCAGGGGAGCCACTTTTCCGGGTTATCCTGGAATTCCGGATTCGTGAGGCTAAATATTTTTCAGCTCCGGATTCGCAAGATTTTATATTCTCTCGCTTCGGATTTGCCAGTTCAATTAATTCAAATATGGATTCTGCCTGTTTTTTTATCAGCGTGTAACAAAATGTGCAAAAGTGAAAGCCTATTTAAATTTAGCGAGAGCGGGTTTGCTAAAAACTGGAAATTTCTTCAAAATGGACGTTAATGGTCGATATCGTCTATTTTTAGCCTTTCTGTTGACAGAGGTTGTGGTTTCCCCTGCGCATGCATTTTGAGCTCTACACATTTCGAGTACCGCATTACTTCGATAGACCAGAAATATTTCTTTTCTTTTCACATCGCCGATCAAGAGAGATTTGAGTTGTTGGGTAAGCAAATTGTAAAATTTATTATTGTAAAATATTTTTTGAATTTAGTTTTTAATTGTTGGGTAACCATTATTATAAATAGAATACTACTCGTCCAAGCGCTTTCTTACAAGTCTAAGCTTAGCGTACTTTGTAGCTTTGTTATGTTTTACTGTATGCAGGCGACATGTATTTTTTTTATTAAAAGAGCTAGGCAGTGTTTAACTTTTTAAAATACTCCTTAAGTTCACTTTACATTTAATTATGGAGTAAACCTTCTAATTTTAAAGAGGCTAATATGATTAAGTTATTTTTATCCGTTCAGTAGTGAGCCTAACATAACTGTATTTAGTTAGTCTTTATTTATTTAAACTTATTAGTTATTCACTCCTGTATTCTGACTCTGGGTATACTTTATGACAATTTATGGTAATTCTACTATTACTATTATTCATAATGCTCTGTATTACCGTAGTGCCGTAGTTTAGTACTCCTATAATATAGTCTATATTATTATGGATGCCTTACTATAAACTATAAATCTAATATGATAATATATTTTATTTTGTTTCACTATTCAGGCTCAATACAATAATGAAAGGCCCCACAGTTCCTTTAAAGAACTGATGGGCACTACAGCAATCGCGATCAGTGATTATTTCAGAAATTTTCCCCTGGGAGAAGGGGGGGAGGCACTTCAGATTTTTCGTTGGGGGTAGTGCAAGCGGTGCCAGTTGATTTGTTGTTGGACATATTTTTGCTCAGGGGGGAAGCACTTGGCTTTCCGGGGGGTTGGGGGGGGTGGGGGGGGTGTGGGAGACAGTGCCCTCCCAGAGATATAGCTCAAAGAAACCCTGATCATGACTGAACAAGTCATCACTGCTAGCTGGAAATATTGATATCAAGTATTCCAGGGGAAAATGATTCAAATGTCAATCATCTGATGATACCAGCTAAGTCGAAGTAAATTGAAAAATTGCAATTGCTAGGAAATTTAATTTACATGTATACACCTTAATTGCTTAATTTTGTTCATTTGTGATGTATTTTAATGTTTTATTTGATAATTTCATGCTTATTTTTATATTAATAATTAATCAACAAAAACGCAGCATTGCGATAATAAAAAATTTTGAGTTTCATTTAGTTTCAGGGATTGTAAAATTTGTAAATGAAGTTTCAGGTTTCAAGAAATTTTTAGAAAGGGATTTCAGGGTTCACAGCTTCAGTGAGTGGCACCCCTGTCTGGGGCTAGATATAATCACTGGAACTGCACTTCGCTGGTTTTCTTCTTATCCGACTGACAGGACTCAGCCTATTGTAGTGAAGCAGGTATCTTCCATGGACACTTCTGTTAACTGTGGTGTGCCACAGGGCTCAGTTTTAGGACCTATTTTGTTCTCCATGTACACTAGCCAGCTCGGAAAAGTTATTGAAAATCATGGTATTTCCCGCAAAATATTTGCAGATGACACAGAACTATACAAGTGTTTCCACCCTGATCTCATGGAGTGTGCTACTGCTGTTCAGGCTGTCAAGGACTGCTGTCTTGCTGTGAAAGATTGGATGTCATCAAACAGACTAAAATTAAAAGATGATAAGACTGAGGCAATTATTTGTGGATCAGACGCCATGCATCAATAAAAGTTGGTGAATCAGAGATCCCATTGTTCTTGACTGTCAAGACCTTGGCTTTTATATTGACAGTAAACTTAGTATGATTTCCCATATCAGTTCTGTGGTCAAGGCATGCTTCTGTCATCTGCGTGCCCTGGGTCACCTGCGTCCTCAACTCAATAGGAGAACAGCCAATGCTGTAGCGGTAGCTCTAATCCAGTCAAGATTAGATTACTGTAAGTTGTTTGTGGGGTTTACTTCAGAACCAAATTCAGAAACTCCAAAAGATACAAAATACTGCAGAATGCATTGTATCTTGGATGAAGAAATCTGACCACATCACCCAAGTTCTACAAGATCTCCATTGGGTTCCTGTGAGTGAGCGCATTAACTACAAAATTCTGTCCCTGACGTAAAGCTGCATAGATGGCTCAGCACCAGCATATCTCAAAGAACTGATTTATTAACGTGTATCCTTGAAGAGCCTGCGGTCTTCTACACAGTACTTACTGAGTGTTCCTAGTGTGAATGAACACAGAAAAAAGTTGCACAGAGTGCGCTCTTTTGAAGCGATAGCACCAAAATTATGGAACAGTTTACCTCAATCTTTGAGGGGAATTGTAAATGATAAAAAATCATTTAAGAAACATTTAAACACATTTTTGTTTAAATAGATTTAGGAAAACCAGAGAGCAGAGAGCGTGCTAAAGTGGCATGGATACCAGCGTGATATAAATATCAAAACCAATCAATATAATATCACACAGGGGGGACATTGGGGATTAGGAATCAATTCCTTGTATGGATTGAGTTTGCTTGGCAAAATCTTCTTTTTTTCATCATCTGAATTAAAAAATATATTTTATAATTGAATTATTATGTTCATTTGTAATAAAAGTATTCATATTTTGGTCAATGCAAAGAAGAGATGCCATGACGTCATTTGCGAATTATTAAAGTTGCTGTGAATTAGGGTTCAGGGACACATTTAGGTTTAGGTTAGATTTAGGGATACATTTAGGGATCATGTTAGGTTTACGGATACATTTATTTAGATCTAGTGACAGAATTAACTGATCTTGTCAACCAACATGGCGGCCATGGGAAAAAAGACATGGCATCTCTTCTTTGCATTTACCCATTTTTTTTATTTTGTAGTAGTTTCAGTATACATTATGTGCCCAATTCCAATTGTTTAAACTTGAGCAAGATGCGGGGGCCTTTAAATAATAATCCAGTAAACTGCATTAAGTTAAGTTATACCTCTGGCTCCCAAAAATTTTGTGTGAAACCAATGATTAGCGCAAACTCTTGGGACCAAAGCAATGTGCTGATATTTGCTGTGATAAGCTATTTCCAGGTTCAACAAATATGTTGTTCATAAACAGATACATTTGCAAACAACTAGGTGTCAGGACCCATGACACAAATTTTAACACAACCAAGGCAGTGCTAAGCATTTTTTTATGCCACGCCCCGCCTTATCACATAACATGTTACAATGCCCCATCTCCCAAAACACACAAATTATTGGCAAGAAAAAAGAGAGGTCTTTATGTGATGAATGAGTTTTGTATATACTAGCGCTTTTAGTTTATAGAGAATTATAAGTTTTGATTTTGATTAACTGAAAACTAAAACACTGAATTCATGAAAACATCCATCACTTTTGACACTTAATAGAACATAATATACTGTTGATAATATATTATAAAAATATTAAATATCCCATTGTGATTTTTTTTTTTTTTTAATTAAACATAAAAATTTTATTTTTAGTGTTAAAATTTTTTTTTTTTTAAATTTTATAAATTGTTTTAAATTTTAAGAAAAAAAAAAATATAGAACATAATATACTGTTGATAATATATTATAAAAATATTAAATATCCCATTGTGATTTTTTTTTTTTTTAATTCAACATAGAAATTCTACTTTTAGTGTTAAAATGTTGTTTTTTTTAAATTTCATAAAATGTTTTAAATTTGAAGAGAAAAAAAAAGAAGTATAATTAGGTTTAATTCCTTGTGATTTTGAAAGATAGAAATTAAATACTTAAAAATAATTTAGCTCACACTAATCTCATTAAGTATTTATGTATAAAATAAAAATAATTCTCCTTCAATATATTTGTTAGTTATGTTGAGTGGCTTCCAGCTTATTTTGAAGCTTGCAAAAGCTGGCATGGAAAATCTAAAGAAGTTGCACAAGTCTGGAGGAATAAAGGCAACAAATTATTTCAACTTAAAAAATATATTGAAGCCATAGAGGCATACACTGAGGTACTTAAACCTATTATATGAAATCGGTTGCACACCTTTCTTTATCAACGGCACTATGCATAGCACAAGCCATAGCTGTTAAAATTAATATTCAGGGGTTTTAACTTTAATAAGAACTTACGTTTTTCATTTTTGGATTGCATTATAGGCCTTATCCTAAGTTAAAATTAACTCGGTCAAAATGTATTATCTAGTTTTAAAAGTAATGTTTTTTTGGTGCTCTATTTTGGTTCAGAGTTGTCTGAATTCCCATCCTGATAATGGAGATGACCTGCCTCTTAGTTTTGGTAACAGATCAGCAGCCTTTTTTCATCTGGCTTTGTACAAGGTGAGTTTGTGGAAACCTTTGATCAGTCTGAAAAAAATCACATTAAGTCCCATATAAGTGAAAGGTGGGGTAAAAATTTGGAGAAATGTCATTTTGTTTTATTTTCTTTAAAAGTTAATTTTTGGCAATATGCAAAGATCTTGATTTAAAATAGTTTACTTTTTATTGAGAAATATTCAAATTTCATATTTATCCTTAGAATTAGAATAATTTATGGGGATATATTATATTTATTATTCTAATATTATTCTATTTCAATTTATTTAAAATTTTAAATATTACTGTTACATAGGCGTGCTTGTTTACATTGTTTAACGCGTGCATGAACTCTGGGTGACCCCAAGTTTGCATTGGTGACGGGGTGTGGCTTAATTAAAAATTGTCTCCCTTGACCTTGATTACAAATAAATACAGTCTGTAAAAGTAGAAATCTTTAGAGTATAAGAGACGAGTCGGGGGACTTGTACAATGCCGAAACCATTTCTAGAAAAGTCTCTGAAACGGACTATATATAAGCCTATCGACTGAGCAGATGGAGAGATTGAGCGGATAATGATTTGCTATTACGATACGAGACGAAGATTTGTATATTTATATTTACTCTGTGTGTGTGTGTACCTTCTTTTTCAACATTGTACCTTCTTCAACCTTGTACCGGTACAAGACATTACTGTACACTAGGTCAATTGCTTTAGTATTAATTATTTTTGATTTTGTCAGTTTTAAATTAACTTAAAAAATCATTATTTGTAATTAGCCCTAGTTTGGGTATTGTTATTACTGTATTCAAGTTATGGTCTTGTCCTTTAATGTATACTCTTTTTCTTGAGCCATGAATATATTAAAATAAGAGATCAAATTACCTACATTTATAACGGTATGTAACAAATGCTTTTGTGCTTTTAGCAATTCTCTTAGTTAATTTTTCTTTGCCTTAAGGACTGTCTTCTTGACATTAAACGGGCTGAACAGAATAGATTCCCTGTTGAGTCCTTACACAAGCTGTTGGCAAGAAAGACATCTGCACATCTCAAGCTTGGACATAAACAAGAAGCTGAAAAAAGTAAACTTTCTTTTTTATTAAAGCCATTTTCATGAAATCAATATCTGAAATACAATTTCATTCATTATCCTGTAGTTTTAGGCTCATTTTCCCCCTTAAATTTATAAACTTAACAAATCATGGCCTAATTGTTTGGAGTGTCAAATAATTTATCAGTAAGGCTTCAGTAAGCTACCACACTCAGAAAGTCATCAATGTTAATTTATTTGAATTTAGTCATCTGTAATTATATTCATTTATTACAGGTTTTCAGGCATTAAAAGAATTTGTAAATGGAAAACAGTTTTGTCTGCAAGGCAGTAAAAAAGGTAACTAAATGTAATAACACTTTGAGTTTAGTTGAGTACCATTTTTAAAACATTTTTAGACAGCACATTAAAACAGTTATTCTGGGTAAGAATATTTATCCATGGGTGGAAAATGACTATGTATAATGCAATTAAAACATATTTTCATTTATTTAGATGAATATAAAAATCATATCTTATCTTATATTATCTTATCATAAAGATATATACTAACATGAGTATTAATACTTTTTCTGTCATTTTCTTCAAACCAAGAATAAATACTCATATAGGAAATATTTACAATTTTCTAAAAATATGATTACGAAGTTTTGTTTTAGTTTTCTTAATTTTCATGTCAAAACATCAAGATTTTAAAAGCTTTGTTTTCTGTAATTTTATTCTTAATCAATAAAAATGAGATCTCCATACCCCTACTTTGGACAATGTGTTGTTTACAAATAGAACATTCTAAAAACTTTAGAGCATATTATCTTTTAAAACAGATGAATTTCTCAAGGAAGTGTCTTCTATTGGAAATTCATTGTTTAATATGTAAGTTTGTCACCATTAAACTTAACATGTAAATCTTTTAGACTTTATTTTTTCATATAATATCAATTATTTTTCTTTTTGACAAACATTTTGCCTTAGTTTATTGAGGTAGGACTATATTTATTTTATATTTTTAAAAAGACAATTTTTAAATTAAATGTAAGATTAAGATAAATGAATAGTTAGTAGGCAAATTATAAAATAAATTTTTCTCCCCCATTGACATTTTTAAGAATTTGCAAAATTGCTTAAAAACAGCAACATAAAGCAGTAGGTATTTATTTAACTTTAATTCCACTGTTTTTTTTTTTTATTGAACCACGTAAGCCATGATGTGTCCCATGACCCAGCACAAGAAGATAAAAATGTTCCCTCCCTCTTTGCTGGGACGAACTCCTTAATCTGCCAGGCATCCAAAGCTGTTTCCTTTACTGTCACTCTTGATAAAGGGAGGCATTTATTGGTAATAATCTGTTGGTTTTTTTTTTCAATTACATTACTTCACTGCATGAGGTTGAGTTAACTTAACATCACAACTCTATTAAGCTAATTTTTAAATAATTTATATCACATGTCAGATTTGTCATGTTTAACTAGAAATAACCCACCAAACAATGGCGACGGCAATGCATAAATGTTCAATCTATGAAAGTAATTTGACTAAACATGCATTTAAGTAATACACTTTAAAAGAATCCCTATTAGTGCTTACTTCTGAGAATTTTATTTTGCACTCCTATCAAACACAGTGTTACAGCCATGCATACATATAAACCAAGAGAATTATTATTTGTGATTGAAACTAACAGTAATCAAAATTTAAAAAAAAATCAAATTTATAGTGTAAAAAGTAAAGATTTTTTTTTAGTGTTAAATATGAAAAAGATAATGTCACTGCTGTCCCAGTGAAGTTGACATGCATGATAATGGGTGACAGCAGTATAAAAAATTGTTTTGTGTATATATAAATGAAATTAAATTGGAATCATTAAAACTGGAGAATTTATTGTAAAAAAAAGTCAATTTTAAACTTTTAAATTTGTTTTCTTTTCCTAAACAGTTACCTAATTTATTCATTTATCATTTGGGAAATGGAGTCAGTGAAAATTGTTTTAGCTACTATTAACTTCAAGCCCTTTTTCTGATTGTATATTTTTAAAAACTCTAGGCCAATGAATCCATTCCCAAAGGATCAACAATAATAGTTGAGTGCCCATTTGCTGCTGTACTACTCCCAGACCATTATAAAACACATTGTCATCATTGCTTCACTCCACTTAAATTCTCTGCCATAGGGTAGGTATCTTATTTGACTCAACATGGTTAAAGAGATTAAATCTTTGCAAAATCTCTCTATTTTAATTACCCTGATTGAAAAAGTGATTAATTTTATATTAAATAAATAAAAGATTTATTTTGTTTTTGCCTTTTACACTTCATCCAATTTCTTTTCTCAAATATATTCAAACTATGCTTTAATATATTGAATATTAATTTTAAAATATACTTCAGTAGTCAAATAACATTTTTCTAATCTTCATGTTATCTTGCCAATGCGTGGCTTTTCTAATAGTGTCACAAATACTATTATGAATTTTTGAACCACTGATAAGGGGTTTCTGAGAACAGTTAAAGCCCTGTTTTCCTTTGCATTGTAGCATGGATGCTGGTGATTTTGACAAATAAGACTGAACAATGAGGGGATTTGATTTGGTCACATGAGTGAACAAAAGATTGACTTGGAGAAAGGGAGTCCAGATGAAAAATTTGAATTAAAATAGAGGAGATCAGATTTTGGAGTGAACAGGAGTTGAATGATTTATGAGAAAGTGTGATGATTTTCCAGACTGTTAAGTGAGAACAAAATATTCAAGGATTCAAAAGTGTGTATTTTACTGCATAATATTTTGTGTGAGCATATGTAGTGTCTTTTTGGATATTGTAAATATCTGAAAAGTAAATTCACTAAATGAACCTACAAGCCATGTGCAAGTTTATACTGGTAAAAATTGGTTTAGTAAGAAAATTCCATTCTCATAGAAAATTCTATCCATGTGAATATATTTGTGCCATGGGTTTAGTTGTGAGGTAGGCCAAGGCCCTACATGGGCCGTAGCACCACAGGGATGGATAGATGTGTTGAACTAGCATGATGTTCATAGACTTCCATTGACTTTAAAACCAAACCCTGAGAAGGAATTTAATTACCAGTTAATGCTTTGAAAAATACACTCATCCGCTAACCCGTTTTCCCATGATTTGATTTCATGTTTGCTGCCTCATGTAAATTAATTCTTACTGTTTGCAGGTGTGATCAGTGTAATGTTGTCAGATTCTGTGATGAATTTTGTAAGGAAACGGCCTGGTCAACATATCACAGAACAGAATGTCGATACTTAGATTTGTTTCACTCCGTAAGTTGAAGGAAATATTTAGGGGTTTTTAAAAATTAGAAGAGCTTCAAAAAGTGATATTTATAACCAATGAAATTTTAAAAAGCTGGATTTTTTTAAGTAAGGGAAAGGTGTTTTCTATGTCACTGGTGGTTGTACTGCTGCCGGTTAGATTTTCATGAATTAAAAAAAAAAATATTTGCAATGTAGGAAAAAAAAAAAAAGTAACTTATTTAACTCTTTGGTGAACAATAATTTATTTTACATTTATAAAAGTTCATGAAGCTGGCCTATTATTATAATAAACATGATAAAATAAGTGATATTTAAAACAAATGAAATTTTAAAAAGCTGGATTTTTTTAAGTAAGGGAAAGGTGTTTTTTATGTCACTGGTGGTTGTACTGCTGCCGGTTAGATTTTAATGAATTAAAAAAAAAAATATTTGCAATGTAGGAAAAAAAAAAAAGTAACTTATTTAACTCTTTGGTGAACAATAATTTATTTTACATTTATCAAAGTTCATGAAGCTGGCCTATTATTATAATAAACATGATAAAATGTAGGTCCTAATCTATGAACATAAGTAGTAAAAGTTTAACAATGCTGCTAAATAATTACAGTTTCATAAACGTTTATGTTCCAAAAATTTAAGGAAAATTTTAATATTTACAAATTCAACCTGGACCGATATTTCCTTCACTTTTATTATTAAAACTTTTGATTTTCCAACAGGTAGGCATTGCTCATCTAAGCTTCCGCATCATCTTATGTACTACACTGGAGTTTCTAATAGGTCAGAAGCAAAATTCATAGTTCAAAAGTGAAGTTATCTAATAAATGTTAACTATAGGAAAAGGTTATATTTAAAATCTTTGGATCAATTTTTTCCTCAGGCTTTCATAATCTTTACTGTGGTAGGGTCCATTTGTATATTATATATCTGCTGAATTTAGTTTTCTTTGATGCTAACTCCATGTCGTTCTCAGCTTTGAATCCTTTTCTTTGTTTTTTTCATATGAAGAATTGTTGAAAATGTGTAGAAGCAAATGGGATTTAAAATGAAAATTGCTAAAAGAAAATCATACTTTTTAGCTTACTGTTTGAGCTGACAACCCTACAGAATACCTTTTGCAACACATAACAGGGCCACATCTCATGAGTTGGGAATCTTTGAACTATATATATTCGAATGTTTGTTCTTAAATTACATTCTGCTTTAAAAGAAATAATAGTCCTACTAGGGCTCAACTGGGTCCAGTTTTATTTACACAGGGTCTGGGAATTTAGAGAAAATGCTCATTGGGTCCAAAGTTTTGCAATGAAAAGAGTTAACTTCTTGTTTTCTATAATATGCAAAAAAAGTCTACTACCAAATGCCATAGTGAGTGCATTTCCTTCGTTAACCGATTGTGTCAAGAAATAACCCACTGATAGGAACAGGTGATTGCCGGATCCCAGAATAGAGATGATGTTGTACTAAAACCTGTCAACGGGTTCAGATAGTGTTCAGACATCACGCATGAAGCTCACGTGACAACGCTTTTTTTTTCACTCAGTACTTTTAATATAAACCTTGGGGGGGGGGAGCAGTACACATCAGAAGCAAAAAAAAAGATTTAAGAGATTATTAAATACCAAAAACTGATGTTTCAAGCAAAGTGAGACTTATAAACAACTCTGTTTTTTAAAACTTGATGGTTGTCGTCATGTTTATCACCAGAATTGAGCTCCCGTTTTTTTTATTTTATTTTAGATTTTGTTCGTAATCAGTTGAAATACAGACTGTCTGATGATTGGAAGACAAAAGGTCTGAACAAAGATGGAATGTATGACAGAAGCTATGTGAGTGTCTATGACCTGATGACTCACGAGGACAGCACAGAACCCCAGGACATGCTGCAGTACTCTTTGGTTAGTTCGTGTTCTGGGTTTCAGGTTTTTTTTTCCCTTTGTATATTTGAGGGCCCACGATCAATTTTATTGATCATTCTGGCTCCTGGTTTGAATTCAGAGTTTTGCCTTCTCTTAGATGAGTTGCCATCCAGGGCTAAAGAGCCCCATCCACTTGGGGGTTGGGTGGAGTGTGTTGGTTTTGGTGGGGGCCGAACTCCAGACCACCAGCAATTTGGCTTGAGTCACTTTAGACCATTTGGCCGCCCAGGCTGATGTCTATGTATTTCTTATCTAATGAGCCTAGCCATGTGTTGGGTTCGTTTTAGGGGGGGAGGGGGGGAGCTGTTGACATCTGTGTGGGTTTAAGTAATCACAAATAATAATTCTCAAGCTGTGTATGAATGGATGTAATGCAGTGGTCAATAGACGTGCAAATAAAATTCCCATAATTCAGCACAAATTGGGATTCTTATAAAATGCGTTACTTGAATGCATGTTATGTTAAGGAAATAAGAAGAAAGTGAAATAATCACTCAATAGTCAATATTTCCATTGAGGAAGTGAATTTTTTATGACTGATATTTGCGCTTGAGAAATACTTTGCATGTCTCATGTTTACAGTTTTATAGTTTTACAGACCTGTTTACTCTCACGATTTTGGCGTACAATGTACGATTTTGAGGTGTATACATTATATATACTGTTTACTAGTAAGATAATGTATTGAAAGATTTAGTGAGGATATTGTACGATTTTAAGAGTTTGAGAGTAAACAGGTCTGGTTTTACCCAAAAAAATTGGCTACCTTAATGAGAATGTTTATCCAAATGCTGAAAATGAACGAGTACAATGTCTTTCAAAAACATTTCCAATGATTTTTTTGTGTTATATCCACACTTGAACTGTGACTCGTGAAACTTGACGCTAAATTTTATGTCTAAAATCCAACAAACAACTGACAACTCTAACACCGACCATTTTGACTGATTGTCATTTTGCTCACCATTTTGACTGATTGTCATTTTGCTCACCACTTTGACTGATTGTCATTTTGCTCACCATTTTGACTGATTGTCATTTTGCTCACCATTTTGACTGATTGTCATTTTGCTCACCATTTTGACTGATTGTCATTTTGCTCACCATTTTGACTGATTGTCATTTTGCTCAATATTTTGACTGATTGTCATTTTGCTCAATATTTTGACTGATTGTCATTTTGCTCACCATTTTGACTGATTGTCATTTTTCTCACTATTTTGACTGATTGTCATTTTGCTCACCATTTTGCTCACCATTTTGACTGATTGTCATTTTGCTCACTATTTTGACTGATTGTCATTTTGCTCTTCATTTTGACTGATTGTCATTTTGCTCACTATTTTGACTGATTGTCATTTTGCTCACTATTTTGACTGATTGTCATTTTGCTCACCATTTTGACTGATTGTCATTTTGCTCACCATTTTGACTGATTGTCATTTTGCTCACCATTTTGACTGTCATCTTGCTCACCATTTTGACTGATTGTTGTTTTGCTCACCATTTTGACTGATTGTCATTTTGCTCACCATTTTGACTGATTGTCATTTTGCTCACTATTTTGACTGATTGTCATTTTGCTCACCATTTTGACTGATTGTTGTTTTGCTCACCATTTTGACTGATTGTCATTTTGCTCACCATTTTGACTGTCATTTTGCTCATAACAAAATTTCTCTTCAAATCATAATTTATAGTATTTCTATGCATCATTGCTCTGCTGGTGTGATCGGTACTATTTAAGTGTGACTTATGACTGTATTTTTCTCTACAGACGGCAGGCTTACTACTGGTCACACTTATTCATGGTCAATTTTTCGACAAGCCAGATTGTGCAGGAGATGGCAGACCGGTGTCAGACTCGCTGATGGACTTTGTACTAGGAGGGCATCTGACAAAAGGTGAACTATGATTATGTGATTTTGGATTAGTTTGTCTGCGTCAGTGTGTTGCTTGCACTGGAACAATATCGGTAAAAGGAAAACTACGTTTGGTGAAAAAATCAAAGCTGCTCTGTTGAATTAATCTTATCTTAAATTCTTAAAAAACCGAACTATGACTTGGGTGGCCGGCTAGTTCGGTCAATGTAAAGTCAGACTCGGCTATGGATTCTTATGAAAGCAAAAATGAGCACACTGATGTTGGTTGTTGTGGACAATTTTGACATAAAATGTGATACAATGGAGTTGATGTTATGCATTCATCCCCGATATGTTTCTTGTGACTAGGATGTAACAATTCTGTGTGCAGCCAAGATCAGTTGGTCAGCATATCATTCAGGAGGGCAAAATGAGGACCCAGTCATGTCAGTTGTGTTCAGCCTAAATCTAATTTGCATGCTTATATTACTTATATAGTATGCGCCAAAACTATGAAACTCACACATCTTGAAGGTGTGCATGCTTTTGTCAGTGGTGCATAGAAAGACGCTGCCAAGTGTTCCCAGAAGCGCAAAGGAAGATATGTTGGGAAGTTGCCGTTGGAAATGGGACTCTCTCGACAGAGGGAAAAAATATTCATAGTGTACCATTGCATTTGCTTGTAAGTGGTAGTTTTATTCTTTCCAATATTTGAGGGCCCACGATCAGTTTATTGATCATTCTTGCTCCTGGTTTGAATTCAGAGTTCAATTATAAAATTATTATGTGTTTGAAATTTCCTATCAGCTTCATTCTATACTGGCTTAGTTTTGTTTATGTTGCTACACTGTGTCTCTAACAATCAATCGTTTACATTTTCTGAAAAAAGTGGAGGACCTGAAACCTGAAATGAAAGACATAGGCGACCTACTGCTTAGGCACATACTACAACTTGTTTGCAACGCCCATGCCATCACAAGCGTCCAAACTGAAGGGGAAAATGAGTTGCCAGAGAGCACAGTGGACATCAGTCAAGTTCGAATAGCTACAGCCATTTATCCCACAGCCAGTCTCATGAATCATTCATGCGATCCCACCATCATTTCTAGGTAAGCTTTTCTGAGATATCTGACTCGGCTAGCACCATCATTTTTTTTCTAGGGGGTTTTACTGAAAGTTTTTACACGAGTGAATGGACCAAAATTATAAAGTTATGATAATGTAAGTCTAGTGTTTATTGAACAGCAAGAACTACCCAGCCATTATGTATAGCTAACCACAATTAAAATCTATAAATCAAAGGAACAGCTGGTGCCATCTGAATCAGCAAGTACATGGCCCAACAAAAAATTTAATTTTTGGCCGTCTGGTCAGAATGACAGTCAACAAACTTGCTTCACAAGCTTACAATAGCAGGACCTCCGGTTTCAAGTTTTTAAAGTATTTTATACAGACCAATACTATTAGTACTTGTAATTATGGTTAAATAATGAATTAATGGCTCGTATTATTAAAAAAAAATGTTTATGTATGTTATAGATCTTTTATAGTAGAAATTTTCGATATGGCTCATTATGCCATAGGTATTGCCACCAGAGATTAGCTAACTTATAAGATAATTATTTATGTGCTGAAAATGAAAATGTACAAAAAACCTTTTCATATATTTGGATCAATAATTTTTTTTTTAAAATAAAATAATCATATCTTATCTTAAATGTGTCATTCTGTTGTTTTGAACATTTGATGATCTACAAAAACACATAAAAAGATTCTACTGGAGCTGCCTATGCTAAATACTTAGATTTTTTCCGTAATATGTAAACAAACCTATATCAAATGCCTATAACTATTACAAAACACAGCAGTAGAATAAATATACAGAAGCAATAATGCGGTTAAACAAAATATTAATAATTTTTTTTGCCCCCCCCCCCCCCCCCCCTTGCAGTTTCATTGGTGATATCTTAGTTGTGAAAACAGTTATGGATGTAAATAAAGGGGAGGAAATTTATAACTGCTATGGTGAGTTGTCTAACTTAATTATTTACTTATTTATGGGGATCTGAGAAAGAGACGTTTTGCAGGCGAAGAAGACTGAAATATAGTTCAGCTTTTATATATAAGAGAAGTTACTACAAAAATTAAAATGAATTACACCCCGGAAATTGCTGAACGTGACAAGTGTTCTACTCCCACCTAATGTGATTTCTTGGGATTACTTTCTTTTAATGTGAAACAAGAAACTGATCAACGTAAAAAAATTGTGCAGGTCCTCATCATTGTCGTATGAGAAGAGAAGAAAGACAGGAAATCTTGAGATCTCAGTATCACTTTGACTGTTGCTGCCCTCCATGTTGTGATGGGGATGTTTCAAACGAGAGATTTGGGGTGAGCTCATTAACCATAATATATAAGTCAGAAACACTTGAAATGCTTATAAAGTCATACATGACCTGAATTTGCAGCAGCTTTAAACCTGCTCTGGCCTTGTCGCTGGTAGCCTTATTCCTCACCATTCCCTCAAAAAAAAAAAAGCTCCATTCTTGTGTAAATCACTGTTTGGTGTTAGTTAACTATCAACTTCATTTCTCAAAATCACCAGTTTGGTAACACAAAGGGCTCTTTCATTAATTAAACAATAAAATGGACTGAGTTTGTTAAAAAAAAAGAAATTATACTTTATTATAACTGGAGGAGATGAGTCTAAGCACTCTGCAGGCAAGTCAAACATTGACTAATGACAACTTCACTATGAACCCGACATAATCATTAGAGATGTAAAGAATCAACCATTAAACTTGTTGCATTTTTATCTTTAGGCAATTCAGTTGTCTTTATTAATACAATGATCCTCCACTCTATAAGTTATATTTCATCTTTCAGGCTTTAAAATGTACCTATTGTGCTGGTATTTTGACTGAAAAAAACTGCAAAGTTTGTGGTCAGTCGATAGACGAGCAAACCCTGACCGCTCTCAGGGGACTTGTTGGTCAAACAGGAAAATTGTTCGCTAGAGGCATTCAGCTAATGACATCACAAGAATGGGAAGGTAACTCTGGCTTGAAATGTTACAGTAATAAAAACTGATTAAGGGAATTTTTTTGTACAATACCACTTGTCACAGATGTTAATAGTACAATGTTAGGACCATCGTATGATGTTTAAACTACAAGCCCTTGTTTCCTTATTACGTGGCCGTACCATTGTAGTTTGCGTTTTTTCACAGTCACCAGTAGGTCATCGTACTCCCCATTGCCTGACAAACCCTTTCTTTCACTGTATCATTGGAGATATGGTCCCTATAGCAGATGCCAAAAATACTTCTGAAGCATCTCATCTCCATCTCATTGTAGTGGTGTGTTAATTGTTAATATACAAATCTTTACATGATTTTAATAATTTGTACTCTTTCATTTGAAACATAATTTTAAAAAAAATTTTAATGACAAAAACTGCACGGAAAATATTCATTATTAGTATTAGTATTATTAGTAGTATGCTACTAATCTAGCAGCAGCAAAAAAAAAAAAAAACATTCATCTCGGATCTCAAGTGTCATCTGTCAAACTGTAAATAATTGAAATATTGAATAAATACATTTTTAAATTCAAACTTATGATTTTTTTTACCATGATTTCTTTGACGTTTGTCAGGGGCAATAACTGTTTTTAAAGAATGTCAAAAACAGCGGAAAGAGTTTCTCTACAAGGACCACCGAGACCTGGCCATAGTGGATGATGCGTTAGCCAGGTGCTTTGCAAGCATCGGTATGTTGTTATGTCTTCTTTGATGGTGACGGTTGTCTCTTGTATTTTTTCGTAATTGAAAAAATTTTTTTTTAATTAAACAGAGTAAACACTTGACATTTTCGACACTGGCACTTTTAGACAGGGAGGGAGGGAGGTTAAGTCAATGTATTGCTGTAATTTTAGGACTTGTATGACCTCTTACTATTACCCTTTAAAGTACCCAATCGCTAATACAGTGCAACGCTTGGTAATTGATTTGATTTATCGTACTGGAATTCATTAACCATCTCCTTTGAGCAATTAACTCAGAAATACTAATACTATAGGACGCAGTTGAATTTCTTCATTTCATCAAAGCTTGCTTTTTCCTAATATAAGCTTTTTATAAAGCTAGGAATGAAATGAAAATGCATGCGTTTTAAAGTTCATGCAAAACTAAAAATTAACATATAATAATTAAGAATTCATGATCCCATTTGTTTGAATACCCTAGAATATAATTTGATAAATCAGTGAAAAATCACATTATTTGTATCTTTAAGGGGACTACAGCACCTCAGCCGACCACCTCTTTTCCAGCATCAAGTTTGCTGAGCAAATGTACGGTGACAAGAGTGTGGAGTACTCCCATGAACTGCAGAAACTGGCTGAAGTTTTGTTTAACGCAGAACGATTCAGAGAGTGCCTGCCCTTAGCTGAGCAATGCCTGGGTCTGTTTACCAGCCTGTACACACCCGAACATGAGGCGGTGAAACAGATCACGGAAGTCAGAGATGCTGCACAGTTTGCATTAGCTCCAATGATGCAATCAAATGCACAAAAGTGATGCGGTTTTATTTTGTGTGTGTGTGTGTGAGTGTGATATTTTGGAGGTTCTCAACACAACCTCTGACATTGCCTTTCATTATGTTAATCGAGTTTAATGAGTTCTCAAGGATCTATTTACCCAGTATTTTAAATTAGTTTTGATTGATGTAAAAAATATCAATGATTTTCAACTTGTTAAAAAATATTTTGTTCTAATGATAAATGCTTCAACAGTTAATAAACAGTTTGCAAAGAAGCAACCAAAATTAAAAACCATTTGCTTTGTGTTAATCATTATCTTTTAATAATAAATATATATAAATATAATTTTGAATTCTTAGTACATTTAAAACCTTATAAAATAAAAATTTAAATGCATCTCCTGAAACGCCAATCACACAATTAAACATACTCTATTAACTCAACCATCCACATCCAGATTATGTTAACTCAAACATCCAGATTCTGTTAACTCGACCATCCACATCCAGGTTCTGCTAACTCAATCATCTACATCCAGCTTCCATTAACATTTACACCCAGATGCTGTTGATTCAACCATCTACATACAGGTTCTATTAACTCGACCATCTACTACCAGTCTGTTAGTCAAACATCTACATAAAGGCTCCATCCACATACTGTTCATTGTTTCTGTCCCCTTGCATATCAGAACTGCTGACTTGATGAAATTGTCTCCAAGAATTTGTAGTAAGCCCATTTAATGTCAAACTCCATGTCATACCAGTAGTTGACTAAAATTGGACCAAAAAGCAAAGCATTTTTATCAATATCATGGATTGACTTTTTGCCAAGTTGTACCTACATTTTAATTTATAAAGTTGTTTTTTTCCTTTCTAAACCCCAAAGCTTAAAACTTTTTTTATTTGCCTAACTTTTTTCTTGTGTAACTCTTACACTTCCTGTTACATTTATTCTCACAGTTCTATCAAATACAGATTGCCATCAATCAATTTTTTTAACTGGGGATTTTACCAACACCCCGATGCTCATTTTTACTAATATTTAGAATAATTTTAACATGACTTACTTGCGATACAACCATGGGATTGCTGAACATGGTGAAACCACAGGGAGGGCAGGTACAGAGTCTCCCCCGGATTTATTGTGACCGTTAGGGGTCTGGCATGAGCATACTGCGGATACTTGTCCAGATCAGGGTTCAACGGGTCAACAGCTATCCATGATACCTGCAAGTCACATAACGCTTCATTCGTGGGAGTATATATTATAAGAACAGGGTGATCACAGATGTACAAGTACAAGAAAGGATTTAATTGTATACAAATTGTTAACTTGATGACCAGAGAGCGTGTGTGGACTTGTATTGCTCTTGAGACATTCATTTAACTACTGTGGCACAATCTATTTGTTTAGAAACCATTTCTGTCCAAAACAGTACCATCCAGAATCCATACCATTATATTTAACTTAAGTGAATCTTTTTTTTTTTTTTAAAGATTCAGATAAAGTTCTTCAAAAAGTTGTAAAAATCAAATAATTTAGTCCACCCTGAAGCTAATGAACCTCAAATTGTTGAGAAATCAAGTGTTTTGCATCATTGAGTCTCAGTCTACCACTTTCTAATTCATTTAACTTATTGACATATACCATATTTATTGATGTATAACACGCCCTCGCGTATAACACACACCTCAATTTAAGAAGGAAATTTTAGGAAAAAAAATTAAACACATGATTTGCCCCCGATTTTCATGGAGAAAAAGTGCGTATTATACACCAAAAAACACAGTAATTTAGATTTTCATTTAAATTTAATCGTGACAAGATGGATTTTTTAAAATTACGTTACATGTAAAATTCATAGTCATACGCTTTCTCATTTGTATCCAGGGCTAACCATTTCCCTCATCCTTTATAAAAACATTTTGCTAAAGTGACTTATTAAATTTAAACCCTTCAGACAAAGAATGTATACAGATAAGCGGCCATGTTATTTCAGCAGTAGTGTACCAACAGTATGTGAAACGCTCAGCTTACCATGCTATTGCCTCCACCATTCTCATCCACATCCACAATGTCAAAGCCGCCTTGCATATTTTCTTTGTACACAGCAGAGTTACAGCTTTCTGTGAGTTGAGTTTAATATAATATTACATGTCAAGAACTAATTACTGATACATGTGTATATGCATATACCACAAACTTTACTAACTGAGAAATTAGGTTGTTTACTGAGGTCTAAATTATCATGAGCAAACAAGAAACTATGCACACAAAAAAATTAAGTCTTTTAATTATAGGTATCAGCTTTCCGTATCAGGTTAGATGAAGAATCAGGAATTATTTTCTTATACAATCTTTGCAAAGTTTTTAAATGGAAGTTTGGTATCTTTTTTTCCCCCCAACATTTGAAATTTTTGGAACATTTAAAAAAAAAAAAAATACTGTTACATTACATTAAAACAACATCACAAAGTATGCAGGTTGTGAGGAAATAAAATTAAGGAACTTGCCATAAGGTATGAAGGGAAGATCAGTTGGTGAAAGTAAAGTGAATGTTTTTTGTCCAGACACTACACAGTACAGGTTCTCATAATGGTCTCTGTGCACTGACAATGTAAAGATATTTTTTTAGCATTCAAGCATTTCTAAAAGATGTAGCAAATCATCCCACATAATATCCATGTTATTATTTTAGGAAATAATAACTCATCCCACAAAATATCCACATTATTATTTTAGGAAATAACAAATCATCCCACACAATACCCATATTATTATATTAGAAATAAATCATCCCACACAATATCCACATTATTTTAGGAAATAACTCATCTAACACAATATCCACATTATTATTTTAGGAAATGAAATAACAAATCATCCCACACAATATCCACGTTATTATTTTTGGAAAATATATGAGGGTCTGCTTCAAGCAGTGTGAAGTGAATAGTGTCAGGGTCAGCAAAGATGCTCCCTATGCTATTGCACCCCAGATGTGCCATCCAAAAGGACAGGAATTGTGCCAGCGGTTTTATAAGATTTGACATAATCTCCTTTGTCTTTACCATCTGGTGTACATGGCGCTCTCTTATTCTCTCTGCTAGTATGACAGCAGAAGACAAATAATGATGTTATTGTTCTCCTGTGTGTTCACACAACTGCTGCATCGAAGTGGCCCATTCTGACCGTTGGATTTAAATCAACAAGCCTACTTGCAGAGAGCAAAACTTATTCTTAATTATTTCGCTCGTGTACTTAACTTGATTGTTCTTATAGTGTCCCTTTTTTAAACATTTTCTGCTTTTACTACCCTACTTTTAGAAAAAATAAAGCTATAGTTGTCAAGACCTCATTTCCTATATTCTAAAGAAATTTAAAATTGTGCTCTACTCGCCAACACATTTCACCCCTTGGTACTGTTACATTTATTTATTTGTACTTGTTATTATTTTTTTTTTTTTGTAATGAGATTAATTTTTCAACCACTTGAATACTTCCAATTTAACAGACTCTCTTTTTTTTCGTACATAATAGTCATTAATATTAAATGCTATCAGGTGAAAGTGACAATTGCCTACCAATATTGCCGCTTATTTCTTCATAAAAAATTTCTTCACCAGTGACATTTCTTACTTGAGGTTACAGCTCTTTCATCACCCATCCAAAAGTTGACTGCATCAGGCTCAGCACCTAGTAAAGCATTAATAAGTTTGCTCATGAGGCTCGACATCTAATAGAGCATTAAAGTCATTTTTCCCACCCTTTCAATCACAGTTAATTACATGTCTATGCTTACCACATGAACAAAGAAAATACATTTTAAAACAGGTGAGCTCTTATTAAAAGAACAAACATATAAAAAAAAGGTCAAGTTTATATCAACACAAACCAGTGATAGAGACTAAAATTTTCTTGAAACATTCTAATCTGGAAGAATGATGTAATGCACAGGTTTGTGGTTTGTTAAATTATTTTGTATTTAAACCTTATAATTATATGTGTATTATGAGATACTTGTAAGACTCCGAATCCCTGGAATAATGTCCTTTTTTTCCCGTGCTTTCATGGTGTAAAATAAATTGATAAATAAAAAATAAAATGAAACAACATCTTTATTTATAACATATTTTATCAAATAATAATACATTTATTTAACAAGTTGATTAACTTCAGTTTCACAAAAAACATATTAAGGATTTTTTTTTTTAAATAACCTACTTACCAAATGCCTCCGTCCCAAATTTAACATGTGGATCTACATCTTTCATTAAAGTTGAAAATTCATCATTCAGATTGGAGTTCTGTTTTTGGATGTAAAAAACACCTTTCGATTTACGTTCTTCCTCCGGACTAAATAAGACATTTAAGAACTCGGACATACAGATCTTGCGCTCCTCTGGCATAACAAATTTACCCTTGTAGATAGCATCTGCATAGCCATTAGGTGTCACCGCAACCGTCACCGTGGCATCACCAATTGTGTCCCTGCAAGAAAACAAAAATCAACACAGCCTCAGATTAAATTTGGCATCTCATCATGATAAAATAGAAAGTTAATCAGAGCATGATGTGTGATATATTTTTAAAAAGGTTGGAAACGTCAGCGATCAAGAATTATGGCAGGGGCGATACTTTACTGAATCAAACTTCATTCAATACTCTGTAAAATCAATTAGAGTTCCTATCTAAATCATAAAAAGCCCAAAAGAACTTATCAATATAACTATAAAATCCTGGGCTGGGAAGTAGGTAAGTCAAGACAAGACTTCTCCTGGCCCTTATGGTCAAATAAAATACAGAGCATTTTAAAAAAAATTAGAGTAGGCTTCAAAGATCAATTCAAGTTATTTGGGGAAAACTGTCCTATTCATAGAATCAAAGATCCTTACCTGAAGTACTTCTCGGACCATCGGGTCAGAGCTGGCCAATGAGTTACTGCGTTTCTTATGACAACAGGTCTGTTCTGGGAGACATATTTTCTATGAAAATTCAAAGAGTCTGGTGGAGCATCAAGTGTTTCTATTACAGGATACCAATCTGATATAAGATACATTACAGGTTACGCTCATTGTGATGTTTAATTCCATTAGCATCTAGACTTTAATAAGTTTCTATTAGAATGTTCTTCTTAAAGGTATTTTTCTTTTCAAAGTAAATCTTTGGCTTTGTGTTATCTTGAAGATTTTTTGTGCATGATTATTTTACCTACTACACCTCAAGTATAAGGGAACACTGAATAGTGTGTTCATGCATATTACTATGGGGTTTTTCTAAAATCTTTTTAAAAATTTTAGTTCTTGGCCTTAAAAAAATAATTTTTTAGGATACAATTGCAATCGGTTTATGATTATGATTAAGAGCAGTTCAGAGATGTGTCTACAAAAATCTTTTGTTCGGAGGAGATATTTTTAGCATAGGATCTGGTTCAATGCTGCATACAAACAAATTACACCTCAACATTGCACAAGACTTTGTTTTCTAGTTGTTTTTTTTTAGTGAATGAGATGTTTGAGAAAAATTTTCTTGATATCATGGTCACGTCATCATGCTTCTTTCTTTGAATGAACATATGAATTACCTTTCATTTCAGTTGACAACAATTTAAAAGCTCCATTTAGTTTTTCTATTATACTTTCAGCCATTTCTTTATCTGAAATGTTAAAAATGTTTTTAATGAGATACCATTTTAATACATTAATTGTATATATTAAACTTTTTAATATAATAAATATTTTAGTTAAACAACTACTGTGGGGGGAAAGGGGGGGGGGGGGGGGTTTGGGGAATTGTTATTTAACTTTTTTTTTCTATTTGTGTAGGTTTTTTTTTTTTGCAATTAATTCTTATTTTTATGCATTAAATCTTGATTAGTTAATTTTTTCAAGTAAATTTGCAAAATTTTAAAGGCACATTTTATTAGTTCTAGTCTTAACAGTTTTCCTGAAATCTTACAGGACTGAATACTGGTATTTAATTACAAATTTGTAAACAGCAAAAGTTGTCAAAATTAAATTTTTGTACCTATGACTAGTATGACAATGGTTTATTGGCGAGGGGGTTGTTTTGCAATAAATGTTATAGAATATATGAAGGTGGTCAACAGAATTTTGTTACATAACGTTAATAAGTGGTAGGGAGTGGGTCAAAAATGGGAAATCCTCAGAAAGACAGTCCCAAATGTCAAATAATATACTTTTCATTAGAAAGTCTCAGGTGGCCCTGATAATTTATGATGTAATGTCCAGGATTCTAAATGAATGAAGCTTTCTTGCAGACTAGTTGCTTGTAGTAATATAAAATAAACAATACCATGACCATCAGAACGCAATCACTGGATCATTTTGTACATAATTTTTTGCCAGGAAACATTCTGCAAATTTATGACTCAACGCTGAAGGCACTGTAAGACAGCATGCTTTTGCGCTGAACACCATCTCATAATTGTCAATCAATGTCTTATGCATTTAATCTGATGTGCATTGTCACCTGATAGTTACTGATGGAAATGCCATCAGTGAAGGACCTGCAGTATACACACCAGGTCATTTTTTGCAGACTGTGGGCTTGCCACATAAAAAATCATCATAATGATATTCTATTGGGCTTACAAAGTATGAAGTAAAATCCAAACATGTTATGCATTTCGGAAGCATTGAAACTAGGGGAAACTAGGGGAATCATTGTAAACTACAGAAACATTTACAGAATTGAGTGTCAGAATTAGTTTCAAGTTCAACAAGGTTGAACAGGCCATGGATCATGGATGGTTTCCAATCCATTCTATGTGTTTTACTAGGGTCAGGGTTTTGAATTTGGGACCGGGCTCGGAGGAGTGCCAAAAATAATTAAAAAATGTCATGATTTACAATTTAATTTTTAATTTTAATAATTATATAAAGTATAGTCTAATAAAGTATATGTAGCCTATTATTATATATAATGTATACTATAATCATATACTGATACTATAGGTATTAGTAGTAGCATTATATAAATTTGTATATTAATTTTAATAAATTATAATATAATATGTGCACCAACCCTAAGGCTAAGGTCACCTATAATTACATATTATTACAATTACTTTACTTACTTTATAATTGAATGGCATTTTTTATGCTTAATTACTAAATTATAATTCATAGGTTAAGTTATAAGTTACAGTTAAGTCCTAAGCCTAAGTCTACTAAAATCATAACTAAAACTAAAATTACTATACTACTATGTCGTAAAATATTACAATTTTTTAAACAATGTCCACTCAATTTAGTGAATTTAGGGTAAGCCGAAATTAGTATCTAATATTTAACTTTACTTTTAATTGGCTTTAAGGTTTTATTTTAGCAAACTAAAATAAGTGTAAGTTTATGACTTTCACTTTATTAATTTAGGCACTTACTTGCCAATTTTACTTTGGCCTTCTTGATTTTGTTTTGTTTAAATTTTAATTCATTTTTTTAAAATTAATAATAATTAACAGGTTAAATCGTATAAATTTAAAAGTTTTTTGTTTTTTTTAATTTTGCAATAAATACGCTAATTTCAGTTGTTTTTTTTTTGGTAGGCAAGTAAATAAATAATATATATTTTTGCTCAATATGAAATGTCCGTTTTATTGTTGCTTAGATTATTGTTTTGTTCCACTACATATGCATCCAAAACATTTGTTTTTTAATCTTACAAAATGGCTGCGCCCTATCTTTTGATTATCCGTCCTTGTTTTTCTTGAAAAAAATTTCTTTATTAATTTCCTAGAAACACTTACTTCAAGTTTGAGTAAAGGTAAATGAAATTCAGTGTGCTTAGTTTTTGGAAATATAAGCTCATTTATGGAAGTATAGGGTCTAGATACATTTATATTTTGACTCAAAAGTAATAATCTCACAGTACACTTTATCACAATGTAACATTAGATACTTTGGTCAAAAATGTAAACATTTTTTAAAAATAAACCAATGGCACAGTTGAATAGAGCTAATTTTAAACAGAATTATAACACCAAAATCATATTTTTAGCTGTTGTAGTTTTAAAGTTATGAATTTTTAAAGTACGACTTGGTTTGTCCTTTTTTAACATGGACTTCATCTCCACATTCTGTGACCTCATTCCACTGATCGCGTCATGCGCAATGACTATATAGTTTATATAAGGCAACGCATTCCCTATCACTAAAATACTGTTTAGGGTAGACTTATTTTAAACTTTCAACTTTGGCACATGAATAATTAATTAAAGCTTTCCCTGACCAATGGTTTAATAGTTTTTGCACACGGCAAACTCTTATGAATGAAACTCTGAGATAGTACTACGATATAGCCGTTATGCAAGTGGCTGTGAATGGTTGCCAATGACAACGTGTTGCACACGGAAAATTCTGATCATTTATAATATGGACTCTGCAGGGTTTTTAAAGCTCAAATTAAAACATTTCCAGTTTAAATGTCTTCAAAATGCATTCTGAAACACAAAATATAAAATATTTTGATGTATATAGTGGTAATAATTAAATATTTCCTAAGTATCGGCAACTTCCGCCATTAAAAAGGGGGCGTGGCCCACGCCATGTCGAAATAAGGCGGAGCCCCCTTATGGTGATATGGGTCACTGGGAGAAGCGTAGCGAACGTGGGACACTACCTACATCAATGAGAATTGGCACAGATATATATCAATATCTAATGCCTTACACGATTTAATATGAAAGACATGTTCCTTTTATTTCACAAAAAATTTTGTATTCGAAGATGCCTTATATATAACAAAGATTTTCAAAATGAAGTTCGATTGAAAAAAGCAAAATAGTTGGATGGAAATGTAGGCCAAGATGTCTTCCAAATTATAAGGCCGGAAACGGAACTCAAATATATGTGGAAAGAACTAATTTAATAATAAATAGACACACACATCGGAAAATTAAAAACTCGGATTTTTCGGCGCCGACGCTTATTTCCGATACAAAAAAGTAGTAGTCTCCCTTGTTTTATCGAAGTATCTACACTACATTACAGTTACGACCTGTAAATTACAGGTCGAAATATAGATTCCCGGAAATGTTTTTTTTTTCAATGAATAAGTTAGTTAGGTCTTTAGTACTAATGACTATGACTAATGAAAATGAATATTAAGTTGTAATGGTAATTTTTGTACAAACCCAGAGGGGAGATCGCTGCTTTCGCGTGGCCACCAATAATGTCATGGTGCTAATCAGATTGAAGACCAGTTACTATATAAAAATCTGTTTATAGACTGTGCTGAATTATCTTCTTTTTTTTATTTTTTAAAGAATGTACCATTTTCATTAGATCATAAGTTTTTACTTGGAACCTAACTTGACTTAAGCACACAAAAAATTGAAGTAACTAGGAATTGGCAACGTTAAAAACTTATCTGATATTTATTTCAGGTATATCCATAAATGGCACTGGCAGCTCTCATTTGTTTTTTGTTTTTCCCATTGATTCTTGAGGGGAGATCAACAGATGTTACCAATCAACACACCATCATAGTTCTGGTAGGAGGAACAGGGGACTTGGCTACAAAGTATCTTTGGCAAGGAATATTTAATGTATATAATGCTGCTTTAGACAGAGTTCATTTGAGTGACCCTATGGGGGAAAATGTCCCAGCCATTGCAAATTTAACATTTGATTTCTTCACTGCAGCACGTCAAGGGCAAGAAGAAGGAAATATAGTTTTGAATAGAATTCTTAACAATAATCTCACATGTGATGAAGAGAGTGGAGAAGATAAAGATAAGTTACTTGCTGCTCTTTGCAAACAGCATAAATTGGAATTCTTGAGGAAAGTTATTTATGCACCTCTGCGAAATGAAGAAAACTTCATTGGATTATGTTCCCAAATAATCAATAAATTTTCTCTCACTGATCCTGGAACTAAAAAGGAGATTTTATTTTATATGGCAATTGCACCATCTGCTTATGAATCAGTTCTGCAAAACTTGAATAAACATTGCCATGCACTTCGTGAGGAGAAAGTCGCCATTAAAGTTGCTCTAGAGAAACCATTTGGCCTGGACAAAGCTGATGCTGAATCAATGTCCAAAAAAATATTAAATCTGTACAGTGAGGAGGAAATCTATAGAGTTGACCACTTTCTTGGTAAACCCGTGGTAAAAGCTATTCTTCCATTCAGGTACTTTCTGTTTATCAACTACTCATTTAAGACGTAATAATTTATTTTTTTTACATGTTATGTCCATTTAGACCAGATACTTTAAGTTGATAAAGTTTTATGCTAACTCTGTAAGAATTATTTAATAGCCCTTCTATTTCTTAGCTGCTATTCCTGCATCATCAATTTAATAGGGGTGTGCCGGAATCCGGTTCCGCCGGATTTTGCACTATCCGGTGAAATCCGGCACATGTATCCGGAACAACCGGAATCCGGAATATACCGGATTTCGGAATTTGCCAGATTTTGTGACTCACCGGATCATAATCTGAAATAAAAGTAATTCTCTTTCCCGAATTCCACACGATCACGATACATTAATCGATTGTTTCGAGCGTTGAGCTTGTTTAATGTTTAATATTCCGTACATACCAGAGGCTAGAGTCAGCACCGCTAATAGTGGCCAATAGTGTAGGGACTTTGATAAGAAAATTTAAACTTTTTGTAAAAATAAACCAATGGCATAGTTGAAAAGATGTAATTTTTTAAAGAATTATAACACCAAAATCATATTTTTAGCTGTTGTAGTTTTAAAGTTATGAATTTTTAAAGTACGACTTGGTTTGTCATTTTTTAACATGGACTGCATCTCCACATTCTGTGATCTCATTCCACCAATCCCGTCATGCGCAATGACTATATAGTTTATATAAGGCAACGCATTCCCTGCCTTATCACTAAAATACTGTTTAGACTTAGTTTAAACTTTCAACTTTGGCACATGAATAATTAATTAAAGCTTTCCCTGACCAATGGTTTAATAGTTTTTGCACACGGCAAACTCTTATGAATGAAACTCTGAGGTAGTACTACGATACAGTTATGCAAGTGGCTGTGAATGGTTGCCAATGACAACGTGTTGCACACGGTAAATTCTGATCATTTATAATATGGATTCTACCGGGTTGTTAAAGCTCAAATTAAAACATTCCAGTTTAAATGTCTTTAAATGCATTCTGAAACACAAGTTATCAATTATTTTGATGTAAATAGTGATAATAAATTAATATTTCCTAAGTATCGTCAACTTCCGCCAATTAAAAGGGGGGCGTGGCCAACCCCATGGCGAAATTAGGTTGAGCGAGCTGCATGACCTGCTGCGAACGCGTAGAAACATGGCGTCTCTCGTAAGACACTTATCCAAATGGAACGGAACTCAAATATATATCGAAAGTACTAATTTAATAATAAATAGACACACACATCGGAAAATTAAAAACTCGGATTTTTTGGCGCCGATTGCGAATTCCCATACACAAAAAGTAGTAGTCCACCTTGACTTACCGAAGTATCTACCAATAGTACCAAAATCAGGAATCCGGGAGAAACCGGAATCCGGATTATTCCAGAATCCGGATTATTCCGGAATCCGGATTATTCCGGAATCCGGATCCGGCGGATTTGGCATAAGAAAATCTGGATCCGGTTGGAAAAAACGGATCCGGCACACCCCTACAATTTAATCATAAGTTTGAAATACGCCACTGTAATATTTTTTTATTTCACATTTAGCGTACAAATTTTAATTTTAAACAAATAAATTGTATCACTAGTGTCTTGTTTACAGATTTCTAAATCCTGAAATTGAAAAAGTTCTAGATAAGGATCACATTGAAAAAGTGGAAATTTTCCTCAAAGAAACTATATCAGTAGAAGGTAAGAGGGTTGGACTGCGATGAAACTAAAGCAGTAGAAAATAAGCATCAGACTAAATAATATTTTTATTTTTCTAAGTTCATAATGTAGTTTGGATTGAAGGTACACATCTTAGATGTTTGTGAAACCATAAAAAAATGCACACTTTTCTCAAGAACCATTTTAGAGGGACTGTTTCTAGTAATTTACCATAACACAATTTTACAAATTTAGTCTAATTAGGGATACATTTTTGACTAGTTCATTTATATTGTTCATAGCAATAACAGTAATAATTAGATAAGCTTGTGGTTTTATAGTGTATATTGTATATTTTTCTTATTCATACAAAGTTTTGATTTATCACAGATCGAGTTCACCTTTATAACTCTCTTGGAGTACTGCGAGATATTCACCAGAACCACTTGACTCAACTGCTGGCTCTTGTTGCTATGGATCTACCCCCTGACCTCAGAGACAGCTCCAAAGTCCAGGAGAACAAAGAGAGACTGCTCCATCAGATAGAGATGGTCAGACGTCACAACTCACTGTTTGGTCAGTTCTCAGAATACGCTTCCCTTGTTCAGAAACTGGAATCAAACAGCACTGCTTCTGACAACGTTCCCACTTTCGCTGCCTCTGTGGTGAAGATCAATTCTCCGAGATGGCGGAATGTTCCCTTCATTCTTGTGTCCGGCAAGCTCCTCGACACAAGAGAGAGTTTCATCAGGATTGTCTTTAAGAACAACTATGTTTGCATCTCACATTGTGAAAACGAAGAATCATCTGATGAGCGCAAGTACACAAAACAACTGGTTTTCCATATAGGGCATGGACATTTAAGGAGACCTTCAATTTTAGCATCCAAGTCTTTGCAAGAACCAGAATGTCCCAATAATTTCTTAAAATCAACAGACCCAAGACTTTTTGGAAGGTCTGTGATTTACGGGGAGAACCCCAAGCATTTTTACCCATGTACTGTTGTTAGAGATGTTCCGGCGTATGAATCAATCATTTCAAACATCCTGGGTGGCAAACAAGACAATTTTGTTAGCACAAAGCTTTTGATCCTTTCCTGGAAAGTCTGGGATTACCTTGTCAGTGCACCCAAGAAAATCAGAATTTATGAAAAGGCTGATCCCAATGGTCAGCTCAACTTTGTTGTCAAGGAAAGTCAGTTGGAATATATCCACACCGATGAGGATGCAGAAGAATCATTGTCCAACAAGTCGGTGGTCACCCACAGTGAAGTCATGCAGGACTACATACAAACGCCAGCAAGCTTTCTTGGTCGTAAACTCGTGACCAGCCACACTGATCACTTGGCTTTTCTGCTGGCTAGGGATATTGACCGGATGGCAGAGATCGAAATCCTTAACAAAGGTTCCTTCCACATAGCATTCTCTGGGGGCACATCTCTTGTGCAAGTGTTCAGAATGCTGGCACAGTCGTTTGCGAATCTCCATTGGCATTCTGTTCATGTATGGCAGGTTGATGAAAGGTGTGTCCCCCATCAAGACGAACGCTCAAATTTCCAAACCCTTGACAGGGAGCTTCTGAGGTTTGTGGATATTCCCTACTCCAACATTCACGCCATGCCAGTTTATATCGGTGGTCGGCTGTGTGATGAAGAGCTGGGCGGTGCTCACGCTTACGCAGACTCACTGCGTCACATTGTTCCCAATTCACAACTAGATTTCATAGTACTGGGTCTTGGGGCAGACGGTCACACTGCATCTTTGTTCCCTTCCAGCTCGGATGTGCACGTGGACAGCAATACTTTTGTGGTCACCACCACTGACGGCCCGTCTGACACCAGCCATAGGATGACCTTGACACTGCCCCTGATCAACAGAGCCAAGCGTGTCGGCATCTTTGTGACGGGGAAACACAAGCGGGATATTGTCAACCAGCTGGAGTCATCTAAATCTGTCGACACGTACCCTATCCTAGGTGTGAACCCAATTAACGGGACAGTGATTTGGTACATGGACTACAATGCTTATACTGGAGGGGTCAATGTTCTTTAGCATCGGGCGGATGTGGATGTTATTAATTTATTTTCATGGATATGAACTGTTTGTTTTTTGTTTTGGTTTTATTTTGTTGTTGGATATGCTAAATATACCAATAGTTTTTGTTTATAAGCTGCGTTTACAGAGCCATAGTGCTGTGGAATGGAGGGTTCATGCTATTACATAGGGGGGTTGGGGTGGGGGTGTGTTATTGTTTTGAGAAAAATTATCTCCAGATATTTCGTTTCCTTGTCTGTTTAAACCTATAGGAGGGAGGCAGTGTTATGGGGCTAAATGATTTGAAAAAATGAGGTTTGGGCAATGCACAATAAAGTTTATTAACCCCTTATTTAAACATTATCAAAATGTTATAACTCTTAGTATTGGAAGAGAATAAGAAGAGTGAAAAATTTGTTATAGTACCTGTATTTCCTTTATGTTATTGGAATGAGATGATTTTTTTAAAATAAATTTTTAAATTGATGATATGTTGTTGTTGTTGAGCCTTCTCGTCCATGAGGGGCATCCACCGATCATCGTCGGCGTCTGCGGTTCCTCCAAGGGCATAGGCCACCTACGAGAGACCTCCAGGCATCTCTATCCTGGGCCAGCTTCTCCAGGATCTTCCATTCATGGCCAATTTTCTTGATGTCTGTCTCCAATTCTCGGCGCCAAGTGTTTCTTGGACGGCCTCTTTTCCGCTTACCCTGTGGGTTCCATTTCAGGGCTTGCTTTGTTGTGTTAGAAGCAGGTTTTCTTAGTGTATGACCAATCCACCTCCACCGCTTCTGGAGAATCTCTTCCTCAATGGGTTTCTGTTTTGTCCGCTGCCACAGTTCCTGGTTGCTGATTTTGTCTGGCCAGTGAATTCTGAGAATCCTTCTTAGACAGTTGTTGATGAAGGACTGGATTCTGGTCAGGTTTACGGCCGTTGTTCTCCATGTCTCGGCTCCATATAGCAGCACAGGTTTTACCATAGCGTTAAAAATCCTTACTTTTAACTTGCTGCCTAAGTTGTTAGAGACCCAAACATTCTTGAGTTGTTGGAAGGCTGCTCTTGCTTTTCCTATCCTTATTTTGACGTCCGCATCTGTACCACCTTGTTTATCTACCATGCTGCCAAGGTAAACAAAACTGTCCACCTCCTCAAGGGCTTCTCCTTCAAGCATAATGGGTGATGTACTGGTGGCATTAACCTTGAGGATTTTACTCTTCCCTTTGTGAATGTTGAGACCCATGCTAGCAGAAGTGGCTGCGACAATGTTTGTTTTCTCCTGCATCTGTTGTTGGGTATGTGCAAGAAGTGCAAGATCATCAGCAAAGTCAAGATCATCCAGTTGATCCCACAAGGTCCATTGGATGCCATTTCTTTTCTGCTGTGTAGATGTTTTCATCACCCAGTCAATGGCTAACAGGAAGAGGAATGGTGACAGCAAGCAACCTTGTCTCACACCAGTCTTCACCTGGAAAGCATCTGTCAACTGCTGGCCATGGATAACTCGGCAGTTTATCCCTTCGTACATGTTTCTGATTATATCAGTAATCTTCTGTGGCACCCCGTAATGCCTTAGCAATCTCCACAGGGTTTGCCTGTCAACACTGTCGAAGGCTTTTTCATAGTCAACAAAGTTGACATAGAGCGGCGAGTTCCACTCTAGTGACTGCTCTAGAATGATGCGCAGTGTCGCTATCTGGTCCGTGCAGGATCTGTTGGTGCGAAAGCCGGCTTGTTCGTCCCGCAACAGAGGGTCTACAGCGTTTTTCATCCTGTTAAGTAGTACACGGTTGAAAACCTTTCCTGGGATGGACAGCAGGGTGATCCCTCTGTAGTTCGAGCAGGAGCTTAAGTCTCCCTTCTTTGGGATCTTGATAAGGTATCCCTCTTTCCAATCGGAAGGAACTTGCTCCTCTTCCCATATCTTCATAAACAGAGGGTGTAGCATTTCCACACTGGTTTCCAGGTCCGCCTTCAGTGCCTCTGCTGGGATGCCATCAGGTCCCGCAGCCTTTCCATTTCTGAGTTGTTTAATGGCCCTGCTAATCTCTTCTTTGGTGGGGCTATTACAGTCAATTAGCAGGTCATTATCGGCTGGTTGGATATCTGGTGGATTTCTTGGTTCAGGCCTGTTCAGGAGCTCTTCAAAGTGCTCCTTCCATCTCCCTCTCTGTTGCTCCTCACTTGGTATGGTGTTTCCCATTTTGTCCTTCACTGGTCTCTCTACCTTGCTAAATTTCCCTGACAGCGTCTTAATGGTATCAAACAGTTCCCTCATGTTCCCCTGGTGAGCTGCATCCTCTGCTTCTTTAGCAAGTTTATCAACAAATTCCTTCTTGTCCCTCTTGATGCTTTTCTTAACTTAAATTTTTTTTTTGATGATATGCTGTTTGATATTTGTGCAGAGTTAACATTGAAGAACTAAATCTGGTTTAAAGATGTAAAATTTAAGCTTGTTTCTCACGCTAAGCCGATTGTCAATATAATTTAACTTTCCCTTAAGTATGCATTGATGGAGCTTAAATTTATTTTTACATGAAATGTTTGGGATCGTCACTTAAAAGAAAGTTGTATGCATATATTAGAAGTTTTATGTCAATGGCATTTACTGGTAACTTTTTGAAGATTTGATTATATTTTTGTTAAAGCTATTTCCCTTTGGAATATTTGTTTGCTCCCTTTTATTTAATTCTTTTGCTGCTACTTTTTATTTGAGGTTTGTTATTTTGAACACTAACTAGTACCATAAGAAACCTTTTTTTTTTTTTTTTTTTTTTTTTTTATTTTTTTATATATAATTTTATTTTTTTTTTTTTTTTATTTTTTTATTTTTATTTTTTTTTACTCCTTCGATAAATATTATAAATGATTGTTTCTTCCTTAGATGATAAAATGCTTTTTGCAATTTGTCCAAGGACTGCTCAATATCAGTCAAGTGTACATTCCAGTAAAGAAATTGTTTAACTCCCTGTAACAGTAACAGTCTCCGGCAACCAATAACAGCATTTAATCTTAAGTGGCAATAGCAGGAGTTCATAGAAAATCTGATCACACCTAAAACATCTGCTTCCATTTATTGATAAATGTTTCCATTCTTGATTTACTGTGCTTTGATCTTTCAGGGAAAAGTTATTTTTTTTAAATAACTTATTATGAACAAGTTGCCCAGTGTCAAGAATTAATTGAAGATTTAGAGGCATATAAGTGTAATTTAATTAGGAGCAGCATCAATTAAACACCATTTCATTACATCACTCATCAATGTTTGTCAATTGGAAAAAACTGCTCTAAATACAATCATTTACAAGGTATTTATTAAGATTTATCCAGATTGTAAAACCTTTTTTTTTTTTTAATTGAAATTTCACACTGCTGTTCACTGACAACCAGACTAGGAACCACTGATACAGAATATTGAATCACCTCAAGAGATTTTTTTTTCTTTTTGAAGAGTCTAATTTACTTAGTTACATTCTCCCAAGAAGAATACATCCTGTGTTGTTGAAAATCTATTTTCCTCAGATTTATCAAGGTTGATTGTATGGATAGACAGACTATTTCGTTGTATCACTTTAAAAAGAAGTACCGGTATTTGATTTATTGATCATGTACATTTTGTTGAATGGTTTCTCAGAAGATCATCCAAATGTTTACTAAATGGTTTATTTGAATAAATAGTTTTAATGCACATCATGTGTCAGTTTATTTATTGTGATTCAAACAACCTTGAGAAATTTCTTCGTTTTTAGTGTTAAAAATTAACGATCTACGGCAACAACAGATCCATCTATAGTTGTACACTATCTAAAGATGTTATCTATACAAAAGAGACTAAAAAAAATTGCAGCATCATTAAAATTAAAGCCATTTAATTAGAACAAAAAAACAAAAACAGACAAAATCATCACTAAATTAATAGCAAGAAAAGGGGAAAGATAGAGTGAACAGATCCCAAGGGACTGTCAATGTGGATTGTGAAAGAATAGAGCAACTACAGATCATATCAATTTTACTATTTGCTGTCTTCTGGGGAAATGCTACCAACACAACATGAGCATACACCTACGCTACTGGACTGCCAAACAACTTATGATAGCGTAGACAGGAAATATCTGTGTGATGCACTAAATCATCACAGGAACTTGGGAGTCCCTAACAAAGTAAAAGTAGAATCAAAGTTCTGGAAGAGTGCTTGAGGAGATTCCCGATTAATCAGGGCCTCAGACGAGGAGACTCGCTGTCTTGTATCCTGTTTAACATCACATTAGAAAAAGTCATGAGAAGCATTCATGTGGGCACCAGTGGAACCATCGCAAACCACTTCCAGAGAAACATGACGGAACCAACACCTACAGGAACTTTATAATCGCCATCCATTGCAGTACCTGGCTTATGGAAATTCATACAAATCAAGAGATACATCAACTAATCGAAGACCCACCCGTAGCTGCAAAATTTCAAACGGAAAATTGCGTTGGACAGGAAACCTGCAGAGGAAGTCGGGTTGTAGAGCAGCAAAATGGATCTACGGGCAGAAACTTCGTGGCAGAAGGCTAACAGGTAGACCAAGGCTCAGATATGTCGAACCAATGGAGGCGGACAGCCATTGATAGATCCGAATGCAGGCCAGGGCCAATACACATGGGTGATGATTTAATCAAGGGACGGCTCAAGCAATGATGTAGGTGTAGGGGAAATAAATCAATTATTGGATTTTAATTTTTTTCTTTTATTGAATTATTGTCCTTGATGTGACTTCATGATGTTACACGAGTAATAAATAAGTGACCACTATTTGTAATTTGTAGCAGCGGGGAAATTATTGTAACACCCGAAAATAGAAGCTGTAGCCGAAATCTCAGCTCAGTAACCGTAATTTCAGCTTTCGGTGATATTCTCGTAGCCTAGAACAGCGCTTCTCAAACTTTAAAGTTTCGTGTGCCGGTTGACACGTTTCGATATTGCGCCAGAGACCGGTGCCATATTTATTAGTTACCATAAATATCCATGTGGGCTGTTAATTTCTAATGTAAGGCTCGTGGACCAGTGCCGGTCAGCGGACCACCATTTGAGAAGCACTGGCCTAGATGAAGCATGTCAAATTCCTTAACAATACAATCACATATTATTTGTTGTACAGAGAGAACTGCCTTGAGGCGGTTTATGCATTGTGGTGGGAAATGAGCCAAAAACTT